CCTCTTCTTCTTCTTCTTTCGTCTTAAATTTCTTCAAATTCATTGAAATTTCTCTCTCATCTTATCATGATGATAATCAATGTTCTCATCTAATAGAAAGTAAAATCATGTGAGTTTTAAGAGATTGGGATGAGTTAAAGTCTAAAACGGTTGCAATCAACTCGATGTGTTACAAAACGCTTTGGGTAAAAGGTCACAATCATTTGTGTGAAATGTGATCTTCATCATCCTCGTCTCTCCCTCTCTCTCCCTCTCTCTTTCTCTCTCTCTTATCTTTTTCATCTTCTTCTGTCTTTATTCATACTTTCATATCTGTCTATCTCATCTTCATCTTCATCTCTCTCTCTCTCTCTCTCTCTCTCTCTCTCTCTCTCTCTCTCTCTCTCTCTCTCTCTCTCTCTCAGTGTCTCTTCTTTGATTGTGTATTTTTAGGGCTACTTTTGTTTCGCTTATGTCAACAAACTTTTATTCCAGTTGGATGAAGATCAGAAGCTTACGCATCTATTAGTTACATATCCGTTGGTGAGAATACACAAGTCACCTTCTAACCCACCCCACTTTCTCCATCTTCCTCTCCTTCTCTCTCTCATTCTCACTCTCTCCTTTTTGAAAGAGAATATGAAAAAAAAGATGAATGTTTGATATCGCAAAGAATTAAATGTGTTGTTGATTAAGATTAACAACAACAACAACGATAACAGATTAACGAACATGACCAATAAAGAGAAAGAGAGACAAAGTTTTAATCTTAATCTTATCGATACCAACGAGAATATAAACTCAATACTATCATAGAGATAAATCTTGTTACCATTACATGAAACTAACAATTAACGATAATCAAACTGACACAAATTGTAATTGTTAAATTTTTCCAAAGGTGTGGTCAATAAAAGGTCATATCATATGATAAATTATCAGGTGATATCAGTGGGAGTCGATAATCATTGCAATCATATTATTGATATTACACTTGATAATATCCAGTCGAGTTTGTTAAATTATCTGTAATAATATCGCAACCAAGGTAATACAACATTTAGTTACAATTATACACTCGATGAAGAGAAGTTAAGATGATTAAGTGTAAATTGAGAGAAATGAATTAGATTTGTAATTAGTTGAAGTAAATAGAATGCGTGATTTCTGGTAATTGCGAAAATTTTTTTTTTCTATTCTTTTTGTGGTAAAAAAAGAAAAAGAAAAGAGAAGAAGAAGAAAAAAGTTGAGAAAGTAAATATTACAATGGGAAGATGAGAAGATGATAAAAAGATGATAAGACAAATGACCCAAAGAGTAAAATAGTCCATAGATACGATCGATAAAGTTGCAACAATCTAATCACAATTAGCAAGAAAATCGCCATCAAGATCAATATCAACAGAGAAACTAACGATTGCAAGAGAAAATTTTACAAAAAAAAAACTCGAAATTTCGAATGAAAGAAAAAAAAGTTTCGAATTGTCTATATAACAATAGAAATTACTGATATTCATCTTGCTCTTTACTTTTCTCACCTTGGTAACCATTATCATCATCATTGTAAATGAAGATAAAGGTGAGTAATTTGTAGTTGCGTGAGCATCGCCCATGTCACCTTTATGATGTTGCTCATCTTCTGGAAAGAAAACAAGAAAAAAAAAGCAAGATGATGATCAAGGTAAATGATAACAATACAATTCATCATAATCAATTCATTCATTGTACTCAAAATCCTATACAAATGGCTGATATTATCTTCCTCCTCTTCTTTATCATCATGAAGATCATGATGATGATGTAAAAAAAGACCAGATCAATGGATTGGTATTCATATTACTTTGTATTCACCTCTAGATATTACATTTAAATTGGAATCTAATGTTGATAAAATTAAGAGAGAAATTTTTTTTCTTCTTTTCCACCATGATGATAATGATGAACATCATCTCCATTAATGTTATTACAATCTCATTCCTGGATAATGATGATAATGATGATACTATATCAGTGATCAAATTGATCCCTCCCATGAGGCTTGATTATTATTACCTTTTAGTTGATCACCATTGAGTAAATTGAGTGATAAAAGAGAGAGAGAGAGAGGAAGATAGTCAATCCTCTTAAAGGATGAAGATGAATATATGATGATGATGATGATGATGATGAACAGATTTAATAGATAATATTGTATTCGGATGATAAAGTGAGGTGACATTATCTTCAATTGGATTAACCAATAAGGTTACACCTTCTCTTTTTGTTGTGTAACATTTTACTCTTACTATAAATTACTTTTAACATCTTCATCAATTGTTACCCAATTTCCATTGATTATGAAAATTATGTCACAACAATTAAGCCTCACAATCAACCGTATGTTGTCGCTGTCAATTGATAACAATATTCACAAAAAGTGGGAGTTGATTCAGTTTATTATCAATACTTTGGTGGTAATAACAATTTGTCAAATTGTTTATCCTCATCAATTTTACTTTGACTTTAACAATCAAGTGATGCGGTTTTTTTTGTATATTGTCAAGGTTAATTTATATAAACTGCCCTCTTTTTATTGGTCATTATTGTTAACATGATAATCTGGGTCGAGCACTTTGATTATTGATTAAACCAGTTAATCTTTATCCAAATATAATCCTAATCTGTCAAATGGTTGCAATTACAATTTAATCACTCAATCAGATTATGTAAGCATTAGAATAACAAGTTAATTGTTATTTACGAATCACTATTAATTATGATTGTTACAAATCATAATTAAGATGAAAACCTGAAAAAAATGATAACAAGGTTAACACTTTGATAATCGTTGATGATAACTTATTACCAGAAGATAACTACAAATACAAGATGGATGAAGATGAAGATGAAGATGAAATTTGAGAGAATTGTTTACTCTCCATCTTCATCCACTTTCTTTCCTCTTTCTTTTTTTCCAGTAAGAAAAAAAAAGCTCACAATTACATCTTCTCTTCATCCTCATCCTCATCCTCATCTTTTCAAGAGCATGTCTTATTATCACTTAACATCAAAAGGAAGAGCAAAAAATTTACCAATACCAAAGCATTTGTGATAACCAAATGATAAAAATCAATCTAAAGAGGATCCAATTAGCATTGACCAGTCTCCATATTTTGACCAGTTGAAAGGGTCACTTTGAAAATGATGCGGGGACGATGATGAAAAGGAAACACTTGGACAATTTTTTTTTACGATAAATTGTTGATTCCTTTTCAATAGTAAACTAAATTTACACTGCGTTTAATATTGATTCAGTTAAATACACACATACACACTCACTCATTTTCATTGTAATAAAAGCAAAATTAAATCAATCAATTTAATGTATATTTATTTAGGTAAATCATCAATAGTGACCAACATTAACATAAACTTTATCCCTTAATATTATTGAAAAACTTAAACTAACCAACCAATAGTTAATTGCTTACGATAATCACAACAATCAATGACCAATTTAATGGTTTCAATTTTCACTGCTACTGTAAACACTTACAGTCCCAATGAAAATCATCATCAATGTGTATACATTGTTAACATTATCATCTAATACATTGGTGATGTTCAATGTTAGTTCATCTTTTTTTTGTTCATCTCTTTAGCATCCTCATCTTTATCATCATCTTCCAGTAATTATAATTGTTGCTTAAATTGCTTCGTTGGTAACTAAATAACGTTAAAGTATATTTACTTTAATTTCTCATTGATCCATGAAAAGTTAATCTTTCATCTTAATCATTATCCTAATCTCTGAATGATGTTCAACTTTTTGTTTCCCTTTCACTTGCCAAAAGGATTTAGATTCATTGATTACCATTCATTTGATTTGATTTGTTTTGTTATTTTTTGGGTTAACCAATTAAGTTACATTTATTGATTATAATTAATATGATTACTTATTTAATTGGTTTAACAGGAATCATACAAATGTATCTTTATCCTTATCATGGTTAAGTATCTGGGAAAATTAATCTGATGAACTGAAATTTAATGAATTTATTATTATTAATGTTTACTTTCAATTCTGTTGAATTTTCAGTTTTGAATCTATAAGAGATGATGATGATGATGATGATGATTATCATCATCATCTGATGAAGATAAAATTGATTACAACATTTTTTCCCATTCAATTATTATTACAATAGTAACACTTTTTTTTATCATTTGAATTAATGGTTAATCTGTCATGATGATGATGATAATGATGTGGGTGGATGGTTAAAGCAAATGATATATAAACACTTGCCTATGTAACAAGAAAAGCGGAAATGGAAATGATGAATTGTATAACAATTGATGATGAAGATGATGAGGAAATGAGAATAAAAAACGGAAAAGGAAAAGATGATAACTGTTGTATTATTATGAATTGTAACCAGAAAAAAAGAGAGTGATATTTATAATATATATATGAATAAGAATCAGTGTGTGGCAATTTGAGATGATGATGAGTAAAGATGAAGATAAGAGGATGATAAAGATTTCAGATGAAAATGATGAGGCGATGAGCTATTGTATTGAAATAGGTTGATAAGTAATAATATTGAAGATACTTTGGAGTAATGAAAAGAGAGAGAGAGAGAGAGAGAGAGAGAGAGAGAGAGAGAGATGAAGAAAGAGGAAGATAAAAAAAGATGATGATGATAAATGAAAATCAAATGAATGAATGAAAGAAAAGAAAGAGAAATAAATTGTTAACCAATAAGAAACTTCGGCACCGCCCCGATAACAATGTTCATCTCTTGATAAAAGGTAAGTTGATTCACCAATGGGAGGTTAATATGATTCAAAAGAAGGTGGAGTTTCCCTCTCTTTCTCAGGTAATCTTGCTCTTTCTTTTTTTACCCCCCTTCTCATCTTCTCTTTCATCATCATCATCTTCTCTCTCTCTTTCAAAGTAACTTATGAAAATCTGCGCGAGGGAGAAAGACTAACAATATTTATCGTCACTGCGTGAGTGTCTCTCTCTTTGTGGATGTTATTTTTTTTGGCTTTGTTGCAAAAAGAGAAAGAAAAAAGAAAGAGATAGATGATGAAGATGATAATGAGTGAGCAGATTGTCAGAATCTTTTTGCTGCCCTGAAGGCAAAATCTTAATCAAATAGTGAGTCGGTGAGTGAATCTCTTGTTACTTAAAACCACGTTTTCTTTTTTTCCTCATCTTCGCCTCATTTTCAGTAGCCCTTTTTTTTTACTATTCATTTGTGAATCTCTATTGAATTTTCATCAGCATCCTCATCATCAGCTGCTGCTTATACTTCATCATCATCATCACCACAACAACAGCAACATCATCATCTTCATCATCATTAACACTTACAACTAAAATAGTAATTACAATTCATTCAATTTCATCGGTTCATCTTATAAATACATTTAATCTGTTCCTGTGTTAATTTTTCTTGCTACTGACCCTCAATTATTAATTAGTGGTTAATTTATTTCTCTGTGATCTGTATAATTAACTATTGGAACCGTTAATCAATTGGGGAAAATTTTTTTGTTGATTGATTAACTTGATTAGTTTATCAATTACAATTTATTTTTCATGTGTAAAGTGTAATTTCATCAAATTGAACAACCTAATTGGTGAATCAATCAATTGAATATTATTAATTTTGTGTATCATTTTCAACCAATTAAATAATCTAATGTTTAAGACCAATGAGAAATTTAATTGTTCCAATCAATTTAATGGACAATTTAATGTATTATGATTATGGGACACATTTCGGATGCTTTATTGGTTAATCAATTGGTCTCTATGACTGCCAATGGTGGAGTAATTTTATCTAATCAAATTGATCCATTTAATTATAAATCATTTTATCCAAATCTTAATCCAAATTCATTATCAACATTGGAAACAACAAAGAATAGACCTTTCATTTTATCAGGATCATCTACATCTCGTTCATCCTCATCATCTTCATCATCCTCATCTTCATCTTCATCATCTTGTTCAATTTTATCTCCAATTCCTAAAAGTGTATTAAATTCATCATCATCATCAAGTGTTATTTCATCTTCTTCTAAGGATATTTCCTCCTCTTCCACCCCAATGTATCCCTCTTTCACCCCGGAACAAGTTGCCTGTGTCTGTGAGGTACTCCAACAATCCGGAAATATCGAGCGATTAGCCCGTTTCCTCTGGTCACTTCCTCCATGTGAACCCTTACAAAAAAATGAATCCGTTCTTAAGTCCAAAGCAATCGTTGCTTTCCATAGGTAAGAGATGATTTTACCTTTCGCTCATTAAGTTATCATCACCTAAGATAACAAGGGTTACACATAATTTACCTGTAAACTCAGGTAAAGATTGAGACACTTTGATGATATTCATTCCTGAAATACCCTCATGAGTTTGTTTTTTGTATGATGACCGATCCCTTTTTCCTATTACTTGGTGTCATGGTAAAGGTGATGATGAACAAGATGATTGTTACTTTGGTTAACAACCAATTCAAATCAATTACATTCTAAATGTTTGATTGACAAATATGATTACAACTCCATCACAACCTTCATTTACCTTTTACCTTGGCACCCATTTAATAACCTATGACCCTTTCTATTAGCACATTAATAATACCTGGATGAAATTTTTGATTGATAAGATGAGGTTTCACCTTAAAGATATTCATTTATGAATTTGAATCAATCTTTTAGATTGAGTTTTTTTATTTACTACAGCAAATGAAGATGAAGATGAAGATGAAGATGATGAAGATGGTTATACTTGGATGTGGTCACAAGGACGATAATGATTAATTATCTGGACTTATGATTAAGATGGATGCCAAAATAGTACATAATAATTTGATGATTGTTGCGATAAATGTTTGATTGTAATTAGTGATAATAATAATTTTCAAGGATCTCTTTTTTTTTTAATCATAATATTTTTCCTCTGTCATCACCAAGACCCTTAGACACACACACAAGATGAAAAAGAGTGATAATAATGAGGATGAAGATGAAAATCATGATGATCATCATATTACATTTCATTTTTGAGTCTGATTCTTATGTCGATAATAAGTGACAGATCATTTTTTCTTTGCCGATGACAAAGTTTCGTGTTGATATTGCGTTTGATTGAGAGGATGATGATAGGTAAAACAAGAGAGAGAGAGAGAGTAAATTTTAGCCTGGAGGCAATTCTGATAGATGATAACAATTTAAGGATGAAGATGAGGTAGAAACAACAAATAAAGTAAATGGGCCAAGATATTTTTTGACATATTCAATAATTAAGATAGGTTGTTGTTGGTGTTTTCTTGATGATGATGATGATGATGTGACGACAGGCTACTCGTTAATATTAAATATTAGATCGGGAAAGTTAAATTGTTTACATTCATTAAGATGCTTATTAGATTACAAGTTAATATCCTACTAATAGTAATCAACTTTCCAGGTAAATGTAATGATGATTTATTAATGTTGCCGGTTAATTATTAATTCATTTCATTTTCCTAATTGATTGTTATGCTCATGGAATAGCGCTTCATATATATGGTAACTACTAATTTCGAATTTCAATTCTCTCTCTTTCTCAATATTCGATTAAATAAAAATCGGCAAGAAAAAGTTTTTTTTCTCTTTTCTTGTTTTTCTTCAACTAATCGATTGGAGTTCCAATTCATCATTCATAACAATTGAATCACCGCATCTCATTATCAACTGATACAGATAAACGATAAGCAATCAATTGTGTTACCCTTGAAAAATAAAGTAGCTAAACAATCAGTTTTCATTGATAACAATCAACCCAAAAAAAAACTGTTATCATGATTAAATGAATTACAGAAAATACAATAGATTTGACTAATCATGATAACGATAAGAAATGAGCCAAGTGATTCAGGTAAACAATAATGATGAATGAAGATGATGATGATGATGATGATGAATAGGATGAAGAGAAATCTTAATGATGATAGTGAGATAAATTGAAAAGAAACTTAATCATCACCATCAAGTAATCATTCATTTCAATTGATCACATTGTTTCAACTAAAAGGCAGAAAGATACATAATCAATAACAACCATTAGCGTGATCATGTTTACAATTAAACTGATTGTAATATTTGGTTATCATAATCAAAGATAATCGTGAAGATCATGTTGATTGTTGTTGTCTAATGTAAACCAAATAATCAAAAAAAAAATATCACATCAATTTGCGGGAATTATATGAATTTTGTAAGCTAATCAATGGTAATATTAACAAGATTACTGGAAGAGAAAAAATCTCCATCATCTTTGATCCTCATCTTTTCAGGAAATATTGAGAGAGAACCCAAATCCAGATTAACAGTTAACTCTCTCAGTTAGGGATTAAGCTCACCCATGAATCAAATCTTGAAATTGTTAACCATTAACTTTGAAACTGTTCAACTTTTACACCGAAACAAAAACACCAACCCAATGTTTCACATTGAGTTTTATTTTTAGCTCTAAATTTTACATCTCAACATGAATTCTCATCATCATCATCATCATCATTTTACTCATCTTAAGGTTAAGACTCTTCATCATCATTATCATTATCATCTTCATCTTTATTTTCATCTCAACACATTACATTACATTTTAAAAACATAAATACAAGTATTAGTGAGGAAACAGTAACAGTAGATCCGGTGACAAGTTTTTAGGTTTATCCTCATCCTTATTTCTTACTTTTTCATCATCCTCATCATCCACCTCCATCTCATCATCATCATCATCATCATCACACTTAATGAGTCTCACCCAATAGACTTACAATGGGGTAAAATTATTCCTATGGTTTGTAAATGTGTGTAAACAAATCATTTCCTTCCTGTAGATTCAATTGCTTACCAAGTGATTTAAATGATCATCATGATGATGGAGATTAACTTGATCTCTGTTTTGTTTGAAAAGAGAAGCAAAAAATTAATTCTAATCATAAGGATAATTTTAAGAATCTGTTTTCACAATTAACTTTGTTTGCAAACAATCAATCATCAATGATGATAAACATCATCTAATCAATTTAATCCGAAAAGTGGGATAATTAAAATTTTGAAACTTTTTCTAATCCTTTGGAGAGATTAATTGCATTTTCTATTTTCTCTTTTTCATTTTTTTTTTCGCAGAGAAAATTTCAAAGAGTTATATCGAATTTTGGAAAGTCACCATTTTAGTCCATCTTCTCATCCAAAGTTACAGAATCTTTGGTTAAAGGCTCATTATAAGGAAGCGGAAAGAGTTCGAGATAAACCTTTAGGTGCTGTTGGTAAATATCGTATTCGCAGGAAATATCCGCTACCTCGAACCATTTGGGATGGAGAGGAGACATCTTATTGTTTCAAAGAGAAATCGAGAAATATTTTAAGAGAATCGTATAATATTAATCCTTATCCCTCGCCAAGGGATAAGAAGGAGCTTTCAGAAGCGACCGGATTAACGACAACTCAAGTTAGCAATTGGTTTAAGAATAGGAGGCAAAGAGATCGAGCTGCAGGATCAAAGGATGGGTAAGTTTATTTCTCTTGCTACATTCACGATTAATTATTTATCAATCATAATCACGATTATCATGCTAAATTCCGTTGAAATAGTTGATTAGGAAATGGAAAAGTGGAGAATTAGTATTTTATTTGGTTTATGTTTTCTGATTCAATTTTCAACTTGTTTTCCTCGCTTTTCATCATCCTAATCTCTTTTGGCGAGTGAAAATCTAATTGATGAGAGGATCAAGTGGATTATAACAGTTTAACAGTTCAGCTCTGTTTTCACCGAGAAATTTTCAGAGAGAGAGAGAGAGAGAGATATATTAAGATTATCATCACATGGCCTCGATTAGAATTTAAAAGAGGCGGAAAATTTGAAAATTTTCGTTTCTTCTAATTTGTTCATTTCCTTCAACGTTAGGATATTCCAATGCTGGTGGAATGTCAATTAAAAGCCATTTAGAGATTGAAATTTAAGATGGAGAAACAAAATAGGAGAGGATGAAGATGAGAAAAAGAGAGAAAAACTTTTTCGAACAACAAAATTAGGTTAACAAAGTGTTTTATTGTTGTTGATTGTTGATTATATTTTCTTCATTAGTCTTCATCATCATCGGTCTCTCTCTCTCTCTCTTTTCTCACTTTTCCAGTTTTTCTTGCAATCTTATTGCCCTCGGTGTTCATGAACTCCGAGTCTATGATATCATAAACCGAGAGATAAAACAAAAAACGTGCTACTCCCAACCTCCTCCTCTATTGAGAGAGACTAAGATATAATATTTATATGTAATAACAAACCGATTTCTGTGGTTACAGAGACACACACACATATATGAGAGTATATACAGAGTGTATCTGTGATCGAGTGTGTAAATTGTATCTCCACGGTGGGAATGCAAAGGCCCCAAAGGCAATGAAAAATCACTGCAAAGGAAATGCCAGTAAATAGCCAAAGGTTTGCAGACGTTTTCTCCTCTTGAATTGGACAATCAGTATAACGATTTTTGGGAAGAAGAAGCTAATTTTTTTTCTTCCTCTGTAATTTTTGGTTCTTTTTCTCCAAAAAAAAGAAACTAAATTATATTTCCAATTGATTGCAATTAGTATTATGATTGCAATTAATTACAAATTTACTCCACCATCAATAACAAAACCAGGTCTCACTCACTCTCTCTCTCTCTTTCTGCCTCCTCTCTCCCTGATTAACGAGGTTTCTTGTTACACTTTTGAGAAAAACTTTTTTTTCCAACAATTTATTTGTATATTTGTTATGATTTGAATTGCAATTAAAGTTTCATCTGTTTGTTGTCCAATCAACTAGCTAAATAATCAATAATAAACTAAATTAACTAACAACTAAAGTTAATTAGTGGATAGAAAAAGAAAAGTTAATCACTAGAAATTAACGCAATCAAAACCTTGAAAACAATGTTAATCAATTCGAGAAACTTTTTTTTTTTACAAAATTTTGTTCAACAATCAAAGTTCAAGGTTAATTTGATTACGATTACTGTATTGTTAACCTAAGCGGTTCCATAGACATTTAAAACATGAGAGTTAATTATGATTAGATAATGAATATAAGTACAACTTTCAAGTAAATTACATTAACAGCAAATTAATTCAGTTACTAGTTGATTAATGGTTGTTGATGTTGTTGTTGTTGTTTTTTGCTGCTTTTTTTAATATGCAATAGTTGTGTGTTTGTGCATCGTAAATGAATTAATAAATTGCCAGCAATTGCAATCGTTGCCATTTAATTTTTACCAACATTGCAAAAATTGTTTTATTACAATTCTGATGGATTTTGGTTTCTTGTTTTTCTGCACGGTGGGTTTTTCTGTATGTTGTTGATGGTATTAAGTTTCACCTTCAAGTTTGATTGCTGTTTCTGTAGTTTGATTATAATTCTTGCAAATGAGAACACTGAGAATGAAGAAATGATGATGATCTCTCTCTCTCTCTCTCTCTCTCTCTCTCTCTCTCTCTCTCTCTCTCTCTCGTTCTGTTTGTTGATTTGATGAGAAACAAAATTGTAAACGTTTCTTTCTGGTTGATTGTTGTTGGCAAAATAACAATCAACCAACAATCAGCTAAACTGTTTCAACTCGAGGAGAGGATACAACTTGTGATGTCGATATCTGATTAACAATCTTGGTTTCATTTTCATTATTTTTATCATCAATCTCATCATCACCATGATGATAAATATAAATGAACTTCCCATGGTAAATTTTTCCCTCAATCTCTTAATCATAAGAAAAAGGGGCAAAAGTTTATTTTTAATTTCACCATCAAGGATTTTATTGTCACGTTGATGATAAATTGTATTAGCAAAATAGTGACAACTTTTTTGTTTGTCTTTCAATTGATTATAATCATTTGATCATCTTAATTGTTTCCTTGTGAGATTTTCAATTGTCTTTGTGTGTATTTTTTTTGGCTCCAATTTTATCAAACGATTTAGATGATAGTCTTTGATTAAGATGATCCATAGATTTTGATGACAACTCTTTTGTTTAAGTGATGAAATGATGATAATGATAATCTTTTAGTAGGTTAATTTTGAGGGTGTATGTTGATAATGATGATAAGTAGCATATGAACGGTTGGTTACTTCCTATGTTAATAAATCAGTTTATCATCATCATCATCATCATCATTATTATTATTAACATTGTCAAACTGTTTGTGTCAATGTGTGTGTGTGTGTTGCTATCAATTAGGTTGATCTTGATGTTTGGCTTGTTAATATGTCGTTGTTGTTGTTGTTGTTGATTAGGATATGATGTTGATGAAAGATGAAGATGAAGATGAAAAATTATATTGATTGAATTGAGATTGTCCCGCTTGGGATGAGATTTGAATGCAAATTTTGTCTAATGGTGTGATCACCAAACGCAAGGATAAAAATTACATTTTAATCTCTATGGGGACTTTAAAGGTTGCAATAGACAGAGAGGGAGATGATGGAGATAAGGATCAAGATGAGGATCAAGTTGGCCCTCAATTTTGTGGTCTAATTTAAGCCTGAAACTTGAAGATGATGAGGATGAAGATAGAGAGACCTGTAGTTTAGGAAGTGAAAACCATTTTATTCATGAATATCCGGTTACTTGTAACTTCATCCGATCTATTTTTCAATCTTCTCTCTCTCTCTCTAGCATCCATATCTTCATCCTTATCATCTTCATCATCTTATGTTCGTTATTTTCGATATTCGATTGGCAATTTTTCTCTCTCAATATCGATGATTACAATTGCTTCCAATTGAATATCATGCATAATTATCAATTATCTGATTGCTTTCTCATAGATTATCCAATGATTAAGATTCACTATTAATGATTAATGATCATCATTGAATTTAATCAATGGACCATTAGATTTATCCAGTTGACTTTATGTTTAATTAATCAACATTTTCTTCATTCTCTGTGTAATGTGATTATAATTAATTTTAATTCTTCTTGTAAATTGTTGTAACCTTTTCCCAATTTCTCCAAGGTTACATGTCAATGGTTCTGCAAGGTTTATCATCACTAATTACTTGATGATAATTATGATAATATTAACTAAGTTTTTAGATATTCAGTTTTTATGATGAAAAGAAAACAAGAAAATAATTTTCATAACTGAAACTTAAATGATTCGAATAGAGAAAAACAAAAAAAAAGTTTTAAAAAGTTTTTCTTTTCTCTGAATCTTATAATTGTTTCATAAGATTTACTCCATTGTGGTTAACAATTTCATCCATTGATTGTTGATTGGTTAATAGTTTGTAATTTAGTGTTGATTGCAATTGATTGTTGGTAAAATTAAAGTAATCATCAAATCAAACACCAATCATCAAATATTAATGTTGATCAAATTGTTCAAAGGTAAAAAAATACTCACAATGTTTAAGGAGGAGCATCAAGAGATCCTGCCTATCATCATCATCCTCATCATCCTCATCATCCTCATCATCAGCTTATCATCATTTTGATCATCATCATAATCATTTTATAGGATAACAATGTAACTCTATATTTCTAATAACAACAATCAAATGAAGTGATGAACATGATGAAACTCATACGATTTCAAATTCGAACTGATTAGAACTTTTTTTCTTTCTCTTTTTCTTTCGTTACGAGTTTAATTAATCATTATCATTATCGGTGGAAATTAATCAACTCATTTCACTATAATTATCAATGATTAATTTGATTTGTATTGCAATTTGTTTGTTGGGATGAAAAAATTTTTCTCGATAATAATATTAATCATATTTGTTATTTGAAAATCAAATATGAAAATTTTTACTCCTTGTTAACAACAATTAATAAATCATGTCAATCAATCAGTGGCTATCAAATGATTAGTGGTTTGGGTATATGTGTGGTTTGTGTATTCAGTAGTGATGATAACAATCAATTAACTGATTTAACTGAATTAAAAATAAGATAATTTGCCGATAATCACTATTATTATCACAGGTAAACTTTGAATAGAAAACAAAAAGTTAGTATTTTTTTTCCTTCTACAAGCAAACATATAATCAAATGGCTGCAACTCTTATATATACCTTGTAACAAATTGAGGGTTTACCTGTATCATTATCGTTGTTGATTAACTTAAATTAAGGTTAAATTGTTTACTTTGCGTTTTTGTTTTCTTCATTTTCCAATTTTAAATAATTCATAAAAATAGTTAGATAAATATCCAACTTGAGTGGATATTATTATATCAAGTGTAATATCAATAATGTGATTGCAATGATTATCGACTCCCACTGATATCACCTGATAATTTATCATATGATATGACCTTTTATTGACCACACCTTTGGAAAATTTTAACAATTACAATTTGTGTCAGTTTGATTATCGTTAATTGTTAGTTTCATGTAATGGTAACAAGATTTATCTCTATGATAGTATTGAGTTTATATTCTCGTTGGTATCGATAAGATTAAGATTAAAACTTTGTCTCTCTTTCTCTTTATTGGTCATGTTCGTTAATCTGTTATCGTTGTTGTTGTTGTTAATCTTAATCAACAACACATTTAATTCTTTGCGATATCAAACATTCATCTTTTTTTTCATATTCTCTTTCAAAAAGGAGAGAGTGAGAATGAGAGAGAGAAGGAGAGGAAGATGGAGAAAGTGGGGTGGGTTAGAAGGTGACTTGTGTATTCTCACCAACGGATATGTAACTAATAGATGCGTAAGCTTCTGATCTTCATCCAACTGGAATAAAAGTTTGTTGACATAAGCGAAACAAAAGTAGCCCTAAAAATACACAATCAAAGAAGAGACACTGAGAGAGAGAAAGAGATGAAGATGAAGATGAGATGGACAGATATGAAAGTATGAATAAAGACAGAAGAAGATGAAAAAGATAAGAGAGAGAGAAAGAGAGAGAGAGATGAGGATGATGAAGATCACATTTCACACAAATGATTGTGACCTTTTACCCAAAGCGTTTTGTAACACATCGAGTTGATTGCAACCGTTTTAGACTTTAACTCATCCCAATCTCTTAAAACTCACATGATTTTACTTTCTATTAGATGAGAACATTGATTATCATCATGATAAGATGAGAGAGAAATTTCAATGAATTGGAAGAAATTTAAGATGAACGAAGAAGAAGAAGAAGAAGAAGAGGAAGAGGAAGAGGAAGAAAACGATAGCAAAGATACGATAGAAAGATAAAAGGATCTTTTGGACTCAAAGGAGCATTTTAATCCTTTAGAATTCTAGTCAAAGATTAAGTCATTTTCAATCTAATCCATTAGCTCAACATTTTTTTCCTTTTTAACTGAGTAAATGCCACAATTGTATCGATTCTGATATGTAACATGTTGTGTAATCAGTTAATTAGATAATCAAATGTTTGATAACAATTAATTCAAATGATTTTTTAGTTGTCCAAATGATTGGTTGTTATTTGGTTTTGAATTGAGTTGATACTTGACAAGATTGTTGTTGATGATTAGTTTTATTTGTGTCTTAATTTTTACTACTCAATGATCATTGTGATACAATTGATGTAATATCTATGACAAGGTGAGATTTTTATCAATGAACTTTTCATATGAAAGTTACAGTTAATTTTTGGTCTGTTGTTCATTCATCTCATTGTTACTTTACCTTTTGTATTAATGATACAAGATTATGATGATAATAAGGGTATAATAGAAAGAGAGAGAGAGAGAAGAGAGAGAGAGAGAGAGAGAGAGAGAGAGAGAGATGATAATGATTGAACAAGATGATCAGTAATAAAAAGCATTGTTGATGTTTTGTTACATTAGAAGATGAACAATAGACATGAAAAAGAAAAAGAAAAAGGAAAATATTATTTTGTAAAATCAGTTTTTCTGTGGTAAAGATTACCTTGTTAGAGAGATTGAGAGTCGATGATGATGATGATGATTGTGATGATAAAGGTAAGAGAGAAAGAAAGAGAGAAAGAGAAAGAGAGAAGGCAAATCAACAGTAAATGAGCAACAACAAAGGCGAAAACAAGAAAGTTAACAAAAAGCCTTTTCCGTGACCAGAGAGAAAAGGAAGTTGCTTTGAAGAGGAAAAGATGAAGAGATGGAGATGAAGATGAAGATGGAGGAATGAAGAGATGAAGAGATGAAGAGATGAAGAGATGAAGAGAGACCCTGGGAGTGGGTTATCAAGGTAAATGTGTTTTCTCATCATCCAAGCAAAAGCTTATATTGAGTACGAAAGGTAATCTAATACCAATGAATTGAAATTGGAATGAGAATGAGATGCAAGAGAGAGAAAGAGAAAGAGGGTGGGAGGGAGAGAGAAAGAAAGAGAGGAACGAAGATGAAAAGTATCGAGTTACCTTTTGGGTCGATAGATGATGAAGCAATGAAGAGGAAGAAAAAGAAAAAGAAAAAGAAGAAGAAGATGAAAATGATGATGATGATAAGAATCAGAATAAGAAGAAAAAAGTTATAAGAGCAAATTTGATGAAAAGAAAAGAAAAAAAACTTTTCATCTTCCATAGAATCGATGAAGTAACATTTTGTTCTTTGTCTCTTCTTCTCCATCTTCATATTCATCATCTTCTTCTTCTGGATCATCTTAATCCTCCCGAACAACAACCACTTAATCACTACAACCTAATCGTTATAATCTAATGTATCAACTGAAAGTGGATAAAGTTGATTATTGTTGTGAGCCATTAAAACATATTTAATGAAGAAAAGGTAACAATATATTGATTGTGATCAATATTTCAAGAGTCAAAATGGTTTAGGTTAACAATGAACGAGTAACAATTAGACCTTGTAAACTAACAATTAATTGCTGAATGAATAATCTATAAAGAGTTAGTCAACAATCAATTAGCATGAATAAATAATGATTATGATCCATGGGAAATTTGCAGTAATTAATAATAAACTAATTGTTCATTGAATCTTTAGAAATGATAAATCGGGTGGTTCTGGTTCCAAGTCTGGATTGAAAAATTTGAACGACTCATCGCAATCTGGTCATTCGAGCGACGATGAATCTCTTGGTGATAGTCCGCCGATGATTAAAAGTGAAACCCGAACTTCATCCGTATCATTAACTTCAGGTCATAACAACAATAACCTCGGCGGTGGTAATACTTCCCTCCTTTTAGGTGAAACTCGAACCTCTAATGGATCATCAATATCCAGTTTAACGCCAAGTGATATGGTTGAAGCTGCAGCTGCAGCGGCGAGTTATCATCAATCAGTATCTTCAATGTCATCTGGATCAGCTGCAGCGGTTGCAGCCGCAGCAGCAGCAGCAGCGGCCGCTGCTTCATTAGCAGCAAATCAATATCATAATTTACACCATCATCATCATCACCATCCAGGTTTTAAGTTCACAAATCAAACATCCCACCTTGGAAGTGGCGGCGGAAGCAGCAGTAGTGTTGGAAGTAGCATTGGTAGTGGCGGTGAAAACGGTGGTGGCGGTGGACTATCGGGTCTTGAAAGCTCACTGAATCCAAGTGTCTCAACAGCGGGAGCAAATTCTGTTCATGCCTCATCAGTAAGTCATCCTCATCATCTTCACCTGCAATCTCATCATCATCATCACCATCATCCTCATCATCCTCATGCTCATCATCCAAGTTTACTTTCAACCGATTCACTCGCCATGGCTTATAATCCAAATGAAATGACAATTGTGAGGCGATTCAATTTCAATGAGCCGATGTGTTGATCCAATCGCCACCACCACCACCACTATCATCATCATCATCGCCGCCATTGAAATCCCACTTTGATACAATTATCAAACTTTTCTCTCTCTCTCTCTTTTGCTACTTACATGAAAATTACACCGCCACCACCAAGAAAAACCCACCAGGAAACAAGAATCAGCCATCTTCTTCCTCTTTATCATCATCATCATAATTTATTCATCATCAAAGTTCATTAGTTACATGATATATATTTCATCAGAATTGAGGATAAGAACAGCGAAGGAAAAAAGTTCATGATATCGTGTGAATAGCTCAACAATTTCTGGTCTCATTTGCAAATAATTCAAGCAAGATAATTGTTGATTAACTTAATCATCATCAACTTAATTCATCGGATGATTTTTTAGTTTTCACCAAATTGTATTATATTAATTGTGAGCTAAATTGTGATTCTAATTAGATAGATAATCATTTTGATTAAAGCAAAAAAAAAGTTGGTGTTACAATTTGATTAACAACAAGGTAAAGAGAGATGGGAAATTAATCATCTTGATTGTTGCTGGTTGGCAATTAACAGATAACCAGCAATTAATTAATTAATTTATTGTAACCATCATAATATCACAATTGAATATTGATATAATTTGAATTAGTTAATGAAACAATTTAAACTAATACAACAACAATCATACAACAAAAAATAAATTGCAATACAATGATGATTAATAATGATGGTGATGGTTAACTATTCACAATTAACTTTTGATGATTTACTAATTGTAGTATATCAAGAATGAGAAAATCTCTAACTAATTAAAATTATCATTCCTTTAATTGTCGCTTTTACCTGGATTTAATCAATCAGAATCTGATTCTATTAAATAAATGATGATAACAAACAATTAAATCAACAACAAATTTGGATAAATGCAACAACAACAACAACTAAATTAATTAACTAATTATAATTTAAATAAAAACAAATTGTAATATATTATTGATATAATTTCATTTTCACCGAAAACACAAAAAAAAACAAATCATCAACTCATTTGATTGTCAACAATTAACAACATCATCAAGAAAAAAAAGTCATCAATATGATCAGTTGATTAACAGTAAATATATATAAAGAAAGAAACAATTAATTAATCAACAATTAAATCAAATCATTCCTATTAAATATATAAAATGAATTACATTTGAAACCTTTTGATTGTGTTTCATTTGACAAAAATTAATCCCTTAATCCTAATCCCTCTTATAATCCCGTTCGTCTTAATAAACAAACAAACAAACTTATATTTAAATTGTCAATTGAATTAAATTACATTTTAATCACTTGATTTACTTTGATTATCTCTCAATTGATTAACTTTCACTAAATCAGCTTAACAAGATTTCAATTCACCTTTAAATTGTAAATTATTTTGTCTTTTAAATTAGTCAGATCAATGAGATTTGATTACCAACAATTTAAACTTGAAACTAATCACCAAGTGTCTTAAGTTAATCAGTTAGTCTGTTTAATATTATCATTCGGATTAAGGACGAGAACCAAAAAGGCCTCAAAAAATAATTTTTTTCGGAGAAGTTTTTATAAGGTAATAATAGGTGAGGAACACAGTGAAACTATCAGATTTTGTCTTTTGGACGGTGATTGAACTTAGCTCGAAAGTGCATAAATCATTCCTGTGAAGTAGTAATTGCATAATATCGGTACGCAAGCTAAAAATCATTTTTCAAACTGTATTTTATATGAAAAATATAAATATGAACTTGGTTTTTCAATATCGATTGACTAACATCGACTTTTTGACAGGCCACTTTTACGATCTTAAATGTCTCAACAATAAAAAATACAACCAAGCTGAAAATCATTTTTGGTACTCAATTTAGTATGGTCTACTACAATCTGAAGTTCGTTTGTTTAGATCGATTGACTAAAGTGGACTTTTACACAGGTCACATTTACGATCGAAAATATCTCAACAATAAAAGATACAACCAAGCTGAAAATCATTTTTCTAACTAAATTCTATATGATAAATAACAATATGAACTTGGTCTGTTTCGATCGATTGACTAACATCGACTTTTTGACAGGCCATATTTACGATCTGAAATATCTCGACAACTAAGAATACAACCAAGCTGAAAATGATTTTTGGTACTCAATTTACGTTGTTCTTCAATATGTCGTCTTTAAATATTTTCGATCGATTGACTAAAGTGGACTTTTACACAGGCCACATTTACGAAATTAAATTTCTCGTGAATTCAAGATCTAAACAGGCTGAAAACTATTTTTCAAGAACTTTTTTAATGCTGAGCGATTATTTTAAGCTATTTTGCCTGAAATAATTGTCAAACAGAATGTTTTGCAAGCTCATGATGTCTGCAAACTCTAGAACCTTTTTGTGCAATGTATGAAATAGCTTGAAATAATCGCTCAGCATTAAAAATTCTTGAAAATAGTTTTCAGCCTGTTTAGATCTTGAATTCACGAGAAATTTAATTTCGTAAATGTGGCCTGTAAAGTCCACTTAGTCAATCGATCGAAAATATTTAAAGACGACATATTGAAGAACAACGTAAATTGAGTACCAAAATCATTTTCAGCTTGGTTGTATTCTTAGTTGTCGAGATATTTCAGATCGTAAATATGGCCTGTCAAAAGTCGATGTTAGTCAATCGATCGAAACAGACCAAGTTCATATTGTTATCATATAGAATTTAGTTAGAAAATGATTTTCAGCTTGTTGTATCTTTTATTGTTGAGATATTTTCGATCGTAAATGTGGCCTGTAAAGTCCACTTAGTCAATCGATCGAAAATATTTAAAGACGACATATTGAAGAACAACGTAAATTGAGTACCAAAATCATTTTCAGCTTGGTTGTATTCTTAGTTGTCGAGATATTTCAGATCGTAAATATGGCCTGTCAAAAGTCGATGTTAATCAATCGATCGAAACAGACCAAGTTCATATTGTTATTTATCATATAGAATTTAGTTAGAAAATGATTTTCAGCTTGGTTGTATTTTTATTGTTGAGATATTTTCGATCGTAAATGGCCTGTGTAAAGTCCACTTTAGTCAATCGATCTAAACAAACGAACTTCAGATTGTAGTAGACCATACTAAATTGAGTACCAAAAATGATTTTCAGCTTGGTTGTATTTTTTATTGTTGAGATATTTTAGATCGTAAATGTGGCCTGAGTAAAAGTCCACTTTAGTCAATCGATCGAAAATATTTAAAGACGACATATTGAAGAACAACGTAAATTGAGTACCAAAAATCATTTTCAGCTTGGTTGTATTCTTAGTTGTCGAGATATTTCAGATCGTAAATATGGCCTGTCAAAAAGTCGATGTTAGTCAATCGATCGAAACAGACCAAGTTCATATTGTTATTTATCATATAGAATTTAGTTAGAAAAATGATTTTCAGCTTGGTTGTATCTTTTATTGTTGAGATATTTTCGATCGTAAATGTGGCCTGTGTAAAAGTCCACTTTAGTCAATCGATCTAAACAAACGAACTTCAGATTGTAGTAGACCATACTAAATTGAGTACCAAAAATGATTTTCAGCTTGGTTGTATTTTTATTGTTGAGATATTTTAGATCGTAAATGTGGCCTGAGTAAAGTCCACTTTAGTCAATCGATCGAAACAAACCAAGTTCATATTCATATTTATCATATAGAATTGAGTATAAAAAATGATTTTCAACTTGGTTGTATGCATAGTTGTCGAGATATGGCTAAAACTTTTTCTAACTCTTAAAATCGTAATTGTGTAGAATTGGACTGTCGCAAAAAAAATTATTAACATTTCCGAATTCAGCGTATTTTGTTCTGTCAGAAAAGTCGGGTTTTCGTCATTTTTATTCTGAGGGCATTTTCCCTATTCTTTTGGTTCTCGTCCTTTGATTGGAAACAATTTAAAAGATTCCAATTGATTAAATAGTAAACGATATTAATAATCTTGATGATTGATCATAATTAAGGTTGACAATCAGTGTACCGTTATTAATGAGGATAAGATGAGAAAATTAAAGAAATTAATAGTTGGATTAGTAAGAGAAAAAATTTTTTTTCTTCTCTTGATTCTTAATCTTGAAGATTAATCCGATTCTTTAGTCAAATGATATTCTGTCATCTCTTTGATTATTTTTCTATGGATAACTGACCAGATTAAGAATAATATCAAATGATAACAAGATTAACTGGTTTAATTAATCAGCTAATTGTAACTTTGGGTTTTCGGCTATTGGGTTACAATTAACACTTTAGATGAGATTGGGAATGTTATTGATACTCAAGTAGAAGACGAAATGATGAAAGATGAAGGTGGATAGAATTTAATTTTCAACAATCAAATTTGATGAACCTTGAGAGACAATTAAAGAAACAAATATTATGATAGTTAATCCAAGTGTGAAAACCAAATCAGGTTAATCTTAATTATTGTGATCGAGTAACAATTTACCAATAGAAAGTGAGGATTTAAACTTGCGATTCAATTGAAGATTGGAAACAAATATTGGTGACAAGATTGATTAGTTGTCAAGGTCAAGGGTTACTAACTAAATGGATGCCAAGGTAAAAGGTAAATGAAGGTTGTGATGGAATCGCCATCATATTTGTCAATCAAATGGGAGAAACACTTAGAATGTAATTGATTTAAATTGATTGTTAACCAGAATAACAATCATCTGCTTTCATCTTTTACCATCAATGTTGATCATCCTCATCATTATCATCATCATCATCATCATAATGATAATCATGTTCACCTTCATTGACACCATGTAATAGGAAAAAGGGATTGGTCCTTATACTGAGTAAACTCATAAGGGTATTTCAATTGAATGTGAATATTATTGAGGTTTGGCTTTGAGAGAGCAAGTGAGTGAGTAAGTGAGAGAGTGTGTGAGTTGGTAAGTGAATGAGTCTACCTGAGATAACAGGTAACCCTTGTTACCTTACATGATAACTTAATGATTGGTTATCATTGAGTTAAACACACATACAGACAAATGAAAAGTATACAAGGTAAATATAATATACTCTTAATGGTAACAACTACAAAAAAGGTACAATGTGTTGTATATTTACCCTGTAATCAAGGTGAAAAATGAAGAGCCCTGAAAGTTACTATTTGTTTTGCTTACTTATCATCATCTTCATCATCTTTACCTTATCATTTACCATCTATTCAACCAGCATCATCATCATCGTTACTGATTGAATGTTATTAGTATATCATCATGATAATGATAACATTTCAAGAAACTTTAAAATCAAAAATAGTTTTCATTTCATGCTTTTCATTTGATTAATTCATAGGATTTAAATTGTGTATATATACAGGTATTTTTATCTAATATCGTTGATCAGAAACATGATTAACTATCACCATAGATGATTATGTAAACAAAATCAATTGATTATTAGACGTACAATTTAAATATCAATCTATTGATTATCATATTTTTCTGTTGATTGCTGATTATTGTAAATCAAATGTAACATTTTGTTTGTTTACCTTGATTTTTTTTTCCTGTTATAACAGCTAATCAATTCTGATTATGTTGATTGTGATGGTTAACAATCATGTTTAATAAATCAGTAGCAATGATTATATGATTCTGATACTTATGAACAAGATATTAATATATACACATATTTGATGTTGTTATTATCAGATTGATGATTGTTATTAATTTTCTGATAACATTTGAAATTTAGTTGATTGGTTGTTCATTTCAGTTCTTAAATATTAAAATTCAGTTGGAAAAGGTAATGAAAAAATAGCAGAACTAGATGGATACTAATTCATGGAGCTAATTATCTAATGTAATTGGAGATTCGAACTGAATGAAGATGAATGAATTCGATAAGTTCTTAAGAGGTTTTCATGAATTCCAATTCTTGTTTGTATTGATAATTATACTTTTCGCAGGTAAATTGATGACGATTTCACTCAGAGATAAAGTGAAATCAGAGAGTGAATAAGGAGGAGGCAATTGCATAGAAGGTGGAGTGGGAGGTGATGATGATGATGAGATGGATGAAGATGATACAGAAATAAATGCCTATAGAAAAGTATCTGATATCTAAGGATGAAGATTAAGATGAAGATGATGATGTTGGTGGAAGATTGAATAAGGTGATAATCATCAAATTGCCTTTTTGCATTTTCGTTTTCTTTTTTGCTTCTTCTCTTTCATCATCATTAACATTATCATTTCTAATTTCTCATCTCTTATCATCATCATCATCATTTGATTTGTTTTGTTTCACGTAAAACAATTGAGAAGGAGAAGAGAAAAAAACTAGTTAATTGTAATCATATAAGACATTTGGTTAACGATGTATTATGATGATAATCATCATCATCTCATCATCAGTATGAGACATGACAAAAAAAATGGCAACAGTAATGACGAGATTGAAAAGGATGAGGATGAAGATGAAAATGAAGATGATGAGGATAAAATGATTAGAGATGCTCAAGTTACATAGAGAAAAATTTGTTATTCTTTTTCTTTTTCTTTTATTTTCTATTTTCTTCTCTTTTCTTAAAAACATCATCATCATCATTTTAATCTCCTTGATGATCATCGTCTTACTAAAAAAAGAGAAAAATTCTCTCTCTCTCTCTCTCTCTGGACTTTTTGTCACAAAGATTATCATCTTCATTCTCATCATTTGACATACTTACGATTTGATTTACCAGATATGAAATTTGAATTTATCTAAACCTTGGTTTTCATTTACCTTTTCAACCTCGTCTTCATCTTCATTTTCATCCTCGTCCTCGTCCTCATCTGCATCTTTATCTTATCGTCTATGAGATCATCTAAATGTTGGTGACTTTGTTTGGAAAATGTTGATTGTCAATCAACTATTAGCATCAAGAGAAACAACAACAATCAAGTTAATGTGTTTTCTTGTTGATGTCACAGCAATTTGATTGTTTCCATTATCATAAACCTAATCATCTTCATCCTCATCAAAACAAAATGATACTATTACTACACAATAGAGTTACCTGATATCCTCGACCCGTTGGCACATCGAGTCGCACACACAGACACACTCATTGATTTTAATCATCATCATCATCATGATTATCATTATGATTATTAACAAGAGTAACAATTTAAATCTCAAAGCGATTTGCACCAATGTCAAACCCCAACACTAATCATCATCATCATCCTCATAATCATCATTATAATTGTCATCACAATTTATTTTCAGCCTTATTAAGGTTTCCCTTTTTGATTATCAATTCAATTGTTATAACCAGAAAGTAAACAGTAACAATTTGATAACAATAATTGATAATTTGATATTATTTACTATTAGTTGGTCGTTAATATTGATACAATTGAATAAGGAATTGATCAGAAAAATAATAATAATAACGAGACCACAAAATGAATTGGATTAGATTGTTAATCCGAAGCAAAAAAAAACTGATTATCCTTTTCGCTGTTTAAAATAATCAATCAACGCATTCATCTTTAATCATAATAACAATTTAATGATCATGATCATTATCACAATCATTGATTATAGAAGAAGATGAAATATCATCATCATCATCATCATCATCTTTTTATAGAGTTTTATAGTATAAGAGTTTTTTTATTATTCTTTTTATCACTTTAAGGACTTTCCATCATCATCATCATCTTTATCTTCATCTCTGTAGGAAATTGTCACTTTGTTGATGATAAACAAACAGACAAATGGGATAATGATGATGATGATGATTCTTGTTTGAATCCTAGATGATCATTAGATTGGAACCGAATCCAATTGAACAATAGTTACCTTTTTTTTTTACTCCTCCTTTTGATCTGAAATTATTGCGTGAGACTGTTGGTTGATGATCGTCATTAACATCAACAGAGTTCTAATTATCATCAGCAGTGTTATTACAAATGATTACAATCAACAACAGCTAAGCAACAATAAGAGTGACAAAAGTGATAATAACGATGAAATTGTAATGATAACAATGAAAATTGATCATAAAAAAGGAACCAGAAAATTTCAAGTTATTTCCGAGTATCATCATCATCATCATCTTCATAACAAGATGATGATGATGATGATTAGTCTATGGTAAGAAAAAAACATCAAAAGATTTGCAGTTTTCTTGTTGGTTATTAACCGGAAGATGAGATCAAATATGATTATCATTCAAGTTGATTTATTGTTTGGTCTCTTTATTGTTAATCACAATTGTGAACATTTATATTGTTACAACGTTGTTACTATTGTCCAAGAGGAGAGTGTGGTGATTGTGGGTTCGTGTTGTTGTTGATGTTTCTTGTTATTTGTTGTTGTTTGTTGGTCGATGTCACAATAAAATGGCCTCAAAAGTGAATCCAAAAAACCACAGGAAAGAAAACGATGCTAGAAAATAATAGAATAACAAAAAATAGAATAAAAAAAGTGACTATTGACTTATCACTCCCCTTGTAACCGAATGGGAGTGAATAAGTTAATCATAATCATAATCAAGACACAATAAGTGTAACCATACACACTCACAATCAAAAGTAATTGTTGAGTTTGTCAAGCTCAATGAAAGAGGCAAATGTCACTTTTTGACCTTCGATTGACTTTTCATACTTTCGGTACCAATTACAGGTTCGAGTTTAATATTTTCCTCCTTCGATCTTTTTTTTGTGACTTAAAGATCATCGATAGAAACGAAATTAATATTCTAATTATTTATCTAATATCAATTTCTCTTGATTAAACTCTCTTTTATCAACACTGATAATCATCAATCAACAATTAAAGTTAGTCAATTATTGAGCGTTAATTGCATTTCCATAATGATGAAAATAATCCAAAAATTATGAAACAATCAATTATTTATCATGAACCATCGACTATAAACTTTTCTATTGAAGTAAATTTACTTTTAATTGTTGATTAATTTTCTTTTTATTAAATTATCCAACAATTTGGTTGATCTTTTTGGTAGTAAAAATGATCCATAGATGGAGCTGTTTGTTGCTCTTTGATTTTGTAAACATTTTCATCTCATGTGTTTGTTTTTTTTGAGAATTTATTAAATTGTTGATTTTGTTTGGTTAATTGTGATTAAAAAATTTCCACTTTTGGATAGTTATGATTTTGAACAGAATCAGCTCAAGATTATCTCCGATCCATGGAGGTTTTTCGGTGTATAGAAGTATTTCCACTTCTTCAGTGAATAATGTTCGCAAATGTAAGTGATCTCATTTGGTTATTTTCTTTTGTACAATTAATTGATCTTCTAATTGTTATTGTTATTATTTCCAATTATTAGTGGTCGTTGAGGAGACGGAAAATGCTACAATTGTCAAAGGAGTTGAAATAGAATCGGATCGAAAAGAGTCTCTAATCAAAGTGAATGAAAATCACAACAAAGCTTGTCCTCTTTGTAGATTGAATTTGAAAAATTTAAACTATTCTGTAAGTTAATTGTTTCTGATCAATTATCATCTGATTTTATAATAACCATTATTTTCTTATATTAGGATATTCTGATAACTGGTCAATTCCTTAATTCCAATGGTAAAATGATGTCCAAAGAGGAGACACAACTTTGCAATCGACAATATAGTCTAGTGAGTAGACTGATCTATCAAGCTCAACAATGCCGATTGTTACCTCGACCCGATAATTGGCCTCAACCAGCTGGAACTTATGATGAAATGAACAGTTACTTTATGTTCCCATATAAGAAGCGAGATAATCCATGGACTATGGTTCAAGAAAAATACTGGAAATAGATTAACGAAATTGATGGTAAATCAATTAAGTCAATTGGACACGAAAAAAAAAACAAAATTTGCTAGTTTGTGAGTTGAAGTAAACTATTGAATTCTAATCAAAATTAAATGACAATTGATCATATTGTCAATTTGTATTGATTTTCTTTTCAATTTACATAACTTGTTAAGACGAAATTAACAAGGTACATTTTACATTTAAATAAATTGCACTTTGATTGCAAAAGAAAAGTTCTTGTATTTAAAAAGGTAAACACAAGGTTGGTCCTTAATTAGTTGGAGGTCATTGTTGGTCAATAGTTAAGGGTCAATACCCAATTTGGAGCAAATGATTTTTGATTGTTCATTTAAATGGTTCAATAGTTTTTCGATTGCAATTTTGTTTTCACTTGTTTCCCAGTATTGGCAATTTCTTTCAGTTGTAACAATTAAACTACGAAGTGATAAACGGAAAGATGATAAAAAACGATCCCTTTCATCTGGATTGTCACATTTCTCATAAATTGTGAGATAAAAGTCACTTAATTCGTCGCAATTAGTTAAAACTTCGATAATTTTACTTGAATCCTTTTCCCAGTTATCTTTTCTCACGCAAGCTTGATGTGATTTAGTTAAACAGTTGACAATTTTGTCAACATTTTCACCAATTGAAAGGTTTAATTTCCCATATGATTTCCAGGTTTGTGCCGATGCCGGAGATTTAACAACAATACGACCCAATAATTGTTGAACTTTAGGAATTAATTTGGAAGTTTTTTCCCCATTAGCACCTTCAACATCAGCAATTACACTATTAACCAAAATTTCAATCAACTGACCATCATCGTAACGATTTTTAAGGTCTAGTAATCGATGCCAAGCTCGAATCACCTCATCGAAAGCACCAATGTCCATGGAAACGAGGAGTAAATTTTCCCAGACTCTCCATTCATCGTAATTACATTTAATTGATTCCTGAAGAGTTCGGAAAGCTCGTGGTTTATCATGCATCTTAATATAAGCCTTTGATAAATTGTTCCAAGCTTCAAAATTATCCGATTCAAAGTTGACAACTCGTCGATAGGCTTTGGCACTAAGTGGATAATCTTGTGTTGTAAGAGCGGCAAAGCCAATCGAGACCAAGCTCCATAAATAGTTGGATTGATTTCTAATGCTTGGGTATAATAACCAACCGATTCAGCATATTCTTTACGAGAAAAGTGCCAATCTCCCAGAGATTTTTGTGCCCTGAAGCTACGATTCTCAGAGAGTTCCCATGCTTTTAGATAATGATTCTTATCTAGAGTAACATCACCAAGAATACACAGAAGATAAGGTGTTTCTCCTTGTTCTAATTGACGACGGACCACAGCCTCGGCTTTATCACGAAGATCAAGTCTAGAATAAGAGAAAAAGAAAAGATAATGATTAACCAGAATTTGAGTTAAAAATTGAGTTTTCCACAAAAACGACTTACCTAAGATAACAATTGATTATATTTTCCCATAGATCAAAATCAAGGTACATTTCTAAAGCACTTTTAATTGCACCCATTGCAAATAAAAGATCAGCTAGAGTTTTCTCAATTTTCCAAATTGGTTCAACCAGAACGGAATAGAAAAGATTAAATTTCCAAGAACAGTGACCAGAACAGGAAGCACCATTAACCGATTTAATTAGTACCTCTAATTGTGATAAAGATCTTTCAACTTTACGAGGTTTCTCAATCTCCAATAGACTACGAAGATAGAGACATTTATATGCGACTGGCCAAACTTTACAATGGTCAATGAGATAATCTAAATAGACGGAGACTTGTTCCTGGACCATATTATCCTGTGATCCACATGAACAAATCAGGTAACTTATTTTACCACAGATAATTGCTTCCTCTTCTGGAGAGAGATCTATCTCATTTGATTCAGAATTGTTGTCATATTTTACTTTAATTAACAGGGTATCGTCCATTAGATTAACATTTTGAGGAAGTTCACAGGATTTCATGATGAGAGCGGCATCATCATCATCGTTACCATCGGTTGTATCGTTACTGTTGAGATCAGATTGGGTTGATTGATTTTTCCGTGAAATGATTACTTTCAGTTGAGACTTTGATTCGGTTTGATATTTTGTCTTTCTACCCAATTCACCGGTTAAACCAATTTCTATGTCACTTAATTCAATTGCTTGATTAAGAAATTTAGATGCAGATTCAACTTCATGATACCAGATGAAAATTTGACTTGATAAAAGGTAACATTGAATCTTTGTCTTCTTATCGTCCATGTTTTCCAGGTGATCTTCTAAGAAACCAACCAATTCTCTTAGCTTTTCAAGTATATCTGGTGATACTTCATTGATGATACTCTGTTTAATCATGAGAATCCTAATTGTCCAGATACAATCACTAAATGAACATTTTGGTTTAAAATGATCAATCTGCTGGATTGCATAGCAAAGAAGTGAAGCATTTTTTAACCTTTTAAATGCTGGAATATAACCATCGACAGGAGATAAAACAACCAATGGATCTGGAAATAATCTACTCAATTCACCAAGTAATTCATTGGTTAAAAAGGGATAATCACAATTGGTACAGATAAAATTTTGCCGGACGAATGATTGAACACATTGAATTGCGACCATTTTTAGCTTTTCAATTTTCTCTTCACCAACAAGATCATCTTTTCCCTTGATAACATCAATAGTCTCGCCAGAGTCAAGTGAATCAAACTCTTCTTCAGAGATACAATTCATTTTTATTATAACCAAAAGAATAACAATTTAAAAAAAAACAAAAGAGAAATTAATTCAAACAATTAATTAAACCACAAACAATTTGGAAAATTTTTCAATTTTAAAGAAAAAATTAAAAACATTTTTTCTAAATGGAAAATCAGTGTCGCCATCTTGTGGTTCTCTTTTCTACTAAACAGAACATCTGTTGATTTTTGAATTTATTTTCCAACAACGATCATTAATTAAGCGCCCAAATTTCATTGTCAGAATTTGATTGTTATTTAATTTAATTGTGATTACATTTTGTGAGAAATATATTTAATTTAATCATCTTTAGAAGGTGATAATTAAGGTAAGTGACTTGGATTCAATTTCTTTGTTTAAATTTTCGAATAGAATCTCAAGTTTGCTGATTTTCTCTTTTTTTTCTCTCTTATTGTTTTCTGTTTTTTTCTTCTTCTTTTTGGAATTTAATTGTTGTACAATTTAATTCGATTTTGTTTTTTTTCTCTTTTTTTCTTTTGTTGTTTGCAGTTGTAATTATGGATGGTTTTAAATATCCCATTGCTTCCGAGGAAGAGCTTGTTGATTTTTTTAATTCAAACTTCCTGATGAACATTTCATATGATAGTTTCACCAAACCAACCAAAGAATTGGTTTGTTCAATTTATGATAAATTTCTGTTCGATTTTGGTGTTGAATATCGTATTCCTCAATTGAAAGCCGTCCAAACGGATAATATGGCAATGAATGCTATCTCTTTCCCTTATATTAACCTGAGAATGGCACTTTCAGAGTTATTAAGTAAAACGGGTTTCATTGATTTAAGTTTCAATGATTTATCTAAACCTCAACGCCGTCGGAATCAGATTATCTTCTCACAATTAGCTGGTCTTTGGACCCGATTTTTTGAAGCTCAAGAAGCCTGGAAAACTGTTTCCAGTAAACATGAGATGATGACCCGTAAAAAGAATGAAGTAAGAAAAAAATTGGAAGACAAGAAGCGATCATATGAAACTAAACTGTTGGAAGCTTCGGAATTGAAACAAGATTTACCTGAGCACGAAAATGAACTGGCCAAAGCAGCGGAAGATTTTGCCAATGAAAGAGCGAGATCAACCAAATTAAAATCTGAACAAGAGAAGCTGAAACGAGAAATGATCCATCTAAAGGAAAGAAAAGCTGATTTAATTCAACAAAATGCTCAGAAAAAGGAGGAAATTTCTGAAAGTGAATCTCAATTAGTTAAATCACCAGAAAAAGTTTTCGCTGTAACTTCAAGAAAAGAAAAGGTTCGAGATGAGGTTCGAACCGAAAGACAATTGATTAACAAACAATTATTGGAAAAACGAGCAGAATTAAACGCTCTCAAGGAAGAATTGGAAGATCACAAACCGATTACCAAAGTTCTGGAAGAGTTTAAAGGTCATTTACAGAATTTAAAATCAAGTTGTCTCAATGGAATACAAATGGAAGAGGAAGAAATTGCTGCTCGGGAGATGAGAATTTCTCAATTGGACATTCAAATAGTCAAAACAACCGAAATTCACGAAGGAGTAATCAAACAAAAATCGATTGCATCGAGGTCACACGAACAACGAATGACAACATTGAAAGATATGATTAAAGAGATTGAGGAGACAATTTCCAATTTAGAAAAAGAACAAAATTCAAACGGTGAAACCTCATCGACCATCGAACACTCACTTCTTCAACAATTATCCAAAATGAAAGAAGATTACGAAAAAGATTGTAAAGTATTCGAAGAGAGCGATCTCGAGGAGAAAATGGCCTTCATCAAATTGATCGAAACTTATTCACACAAGTTCAAGAAAATATTATCTTCCTACAATAATTGATTGTTTTGTTTTTCATGCATTCTTTTAATTTCGGTGTTTCTTTTTTAAAGACCAGCGAAAAGAAAAACACTTACACAGATTAAAACACAGATAAACACACAATTTAAATTGTGGAACAATTTTTGACTTTTGGTGTATGATCAATATGATAATGATTCTTATCAATGGTGATGTTTACGATTGAATGATGATGATTATTAGAAGAAGAAGAATTGACAAAGCGATTATCATGACACATTTCATTTTACGAGATCGACGGACACTTTTCTCCGCTTTGGCCAATTCGATGACCCCCTGATGTACCGACATCTCAACATTCTCAATATTATAATCAATTCTATCCAGGAGAGAACCTTGATTAATAACTGCCGTGTTTATATCTTGAAAGATTGAGTTTAATTCTTCCATTGATTTAAGAATAGTGTTCATCTCGTGTTCCCGTTGACGCAAAAATTTAGTATCACTAGAAACAAATGTCGATCCGATAAGTTGCTGTTGTTGTTGGTGAGATTTTCCTGTTGCCCGATTATTAGATTCCTCATCACCGGGAGATGTAAAATTATCCAATAAATTGATATCCTGATAAGTTGACATGGCTCCAAGAGGATCATTGGGATCGGTTTCGTCAAATTTAATCATATAATCATCGTATTCCCTAATCTTGGAAAGGTAACCTTTCTGAACTTCACGAAATTTTGATGAAAGATTACTAATCACTTGATATTCCCATTGAAGTATATTACGTATAATCCTGTCTTTTAATCCTTCCCCTCGAGGAATATTTTTCACCTGATTAACTAGTGAATGTAAACGATTAAAAAGACGACTAATCTCTTGGCACTTTTGATCAATTTCACTTTCACGATTAACATCAAAAGAATCATCACCAAAAATCTCCTTGTTTTTAAGTTTCAATAAATTTCGTTGAATATCTTCCAGATCATCAACTAAATAACAAGAGAAACAATTTGATTAAAATTAAGTTGATAGAAAATTGTCCAAAACTATTATCATAACCATTGCAATTTGATTAACTTAAATTCATATTAATTTGGTGTTTCATGTGAACAATTTTTCTGTATAGTAATTAGCAAACATCAATCAATTGAAGATTAGATGCTAATCAATTATGATGATTTAATCAATATTGGTATGGATATGATTGATATAAGGAAGAGTTTAATTGTCAGCAATTAATTATCCTTACTTTTTTTGCTTATTTTGTTGGTTTCAAAGCGAAATTGATCAACAAATGCAACCCAATATGGAGCATCGACCACACCCGATTCAATGTAACCATTTTCTTCATTATTGACCAATGTAATTCTTTCCTCTTCACTAGATTCCTAGAAATGAACAGAGAAAAGAAAAAGAAATTTAGACAAATAATTAAATCAATTCGATTAACAATTAGCTGCATCTAGAAATTGAGAAAAAAATTACTTACATATCGAGTGAAACTCCGATATTTTGAAGCTTTATTTCTAAGGGTTTGGAATGTTTCGCTGTGATGTCGAGTGACCATAATGATTACGAAGATTAAATTGTCACGGGATAAGTATGAGATCAACCGGATTAAGAATTAACCAGATAATTAAAAGAGATAAGTAAATGAGTAACTCCCTCTTGAGAAAATATTTCAAGTAATGAGAGAGATGTTGATGAGGTTTAAGTTGATCAATTAAGACAGTAATGAGTAAAACTAATTGAATCCATTGTTAAAAAAACACATAGGGATGGATAGCAATTGGATGGATTAACTGTACAATCAACTAATTGTAAAAATGTTTAATCACATCAATCCAAATCTTTTAATCTGCCAACAGCTGTTACCATTTAAATAAGATTCATTGTTCCAATCTCGCTCATCTATATAAGTATGAATTCACAAATAGAAAAGAAAATCAATAAAAATATTCCATAGAAATTTAATCAAACAATTAAATTGACAATTACCTTTGAAAGAAATCAAATTAAAGCAACAACAACAATTAGATTGACAGATGAAGAGACCGGTTGACAAAATTGAAAGAAAATGGTAAATGTAATCAAAAAGATTACGAGAAAATAACCGAAAACGATCACGATGATCCAATAGATTTCTAGATAATGGATTAATCAGTTGAAATTAACTAAATTATCTCATGATTAGTAATTAAAAGGTAAATAAATTGGGCGATCAAACAATCAACAGTTGCAAAGGAAAACAAAAATTTCCAAATTATCAGCTGAGTGTTTTTCTTATTGCGCGCCAAATACAAACGAGAGAAAGAAAATTAAATTAATTGTTTTTTCCACAATTGAAGAAAATTATCCGTTCAAATGATTAAAAATTCTTAAAGTTAATTAGTGATAAAGTTGATTAAAAGTGAATTTATTGTTGAAAAGTCTTTCAATTTAGGAAAATAAATAAAGTTTGATGTTGTTTTCATTTTGTTTTGTTTGGTAAACATTTTCAACTTTCCGATGGAAAAATAAAGTTTTAATTGTTGTTCTTGTAATTTAAACACAATTACGATGTGTAAGTAAATTTGTTGATCATCTATACCTTTAATTAGATAATGATGATCGATCAGGTTGATTGAATAACGATGAGAACAAGTTGATTTAAGTTTCAGAATGAAATTAAAACCATGTTACCTTAATATGGATTAGACTCTTGGGAGTTAATCATGATAACTGTTAATCAATTAATTTATATTGAACTTTGATGTTTGTTATTTAATATCAATTAGTTCAACATGGATTGATCAACATTTATGATTATCTATGTTTAGATATTTTTTTTTTCTTAATCATCAAGTTGATTAACTTGAGTCTTGAAGTAATTTGCTCAAACTCACAAAAATATTATAACTATTACAACAATCAAGTGAATCAAATTTACTGGATTAACTAGTTAGAATCATCTTAGTATCATGTGAAGTGAAAACAAGCAATTAGTTAATTCTGTTACCATTGATAATAATAATAATATTGTTAAATTGTTCTCAATCGCAAAGAATCAATAAATTGTCCAAACTAATTGTTGTTACCATGAACTGGAAAGAGTATCGAGAAGCAGGTAAGTGATTAAAGAAAATGTTTCAATTGTTATTATCGAGAGTTAATTGTTGACAATTGGTGATATTTAAATCGTCAATTAGGTAAAATGATGGTTGATTATATTGCCGATTATATGGAAACAATTAGAGATCGTCGGGTTTTCCCTTCGGTTAAACCAGGTTATATGAGAGATTTAATTAGTGACCGAGCACCGGAAGAAGGTGAATCCTGGTCAGCCATTTTTACCGACATTGAAAGGGTCATCATGCCCGGAGTGACCCACTGGCAGTCCCCACAGATGCATGCCTATTTTCCCGCTCTCAATTCACCAGCCTCACTTTTGGGCGATATGCTTTCCGATGCAATTAATTGCCTCGGTTTTACTTGGGCTTCATCACCCGCTTGTACTGAATTAGAGTTAATTGTTATGGATTGGCTTGGAAAGATGATCAATTTACCGGAAGAGTTTCTCCACACCCGACCTGAGTCACTTGGCGGTGGAGTGATTCAGACAACCGCATCAGAGGCCACACTTGTAGCCCTTTTAGCGGCTCGAACGGAGGCCATTCGAAAGTATAAGTCAATGGTTGACGAAGAGTTTGAAGACGCTGATCTTAATCGACGGTTGGTCGCTTATTGTTCAGATCAGGCTCATTCATCGGTTGAGAAAGCGGGTCTGATTGGACTGGTTAAGATGAGGTACATTGAGACAACCGATGAACTTTCAATGAGAATCGATTATCTTATTGAGACAATTAAACACGACCAGTCCCAGGGTTTGATTCCCTTTTTCCTTTGTGCCACCCTTGGTACAACGGGTGCTTGTGCGTTTGATAATTTATCGGAAATTGGGCCAATCTGTGCATCGCAAGATATTTGGATTCACGTGGATGCCGCTTACGCGGGTAGTGCGTTCATATGCCCCGAGTATCGTAAATGGTTAAACGGGATTGAATTTGCGTCAAGTTTTGCCTTCAACCCGTCAAAATGGTTAATGGTTCATTTTGATTGTACCGCGATGTGGGTCAAAAACAGTCAAGTGCTTCATCGTACCTTTAACGTTGACCCTTTATACTTGAAACACGAAAATTCTGGCCTGGCTGTTGATTATATGCACTGGCAGATATCATTGTCCAAACGGTTTCGAGCGCTCAAATTATGGTTTGTATTGAGAAACTTTGGCCTCAAGGGATTACAGGAACACGTTCGAACCAGCGTCCAGTTAGCTGGACTTTTCCAGGATCAGGTTACTCTTGATCCTCGATTTGAAATCCCGGCAGCTCGACATTTGGGTATGGTTGTTTTCCGACTCAAGGGTGACAATCAATTAACAGAGAAACTGTTGAAAAGGTTAAATTCTGAAGGTAAAATTCATTGTGTTCCCGCTTCGCTGAAAGGTATTTACGTAATAAGATTTACGGTCACTTCTCATCTGACCAATGAGATTGATGTACTTGCCGATTGGAAAGTGATCCAAGAAACGGCCACCACAGTGATCGCAATGTTTACAACACCAACCAGTGGATCGGGAAGGCGAACAATCAATTTGGCCGAAGCGAAAAAGTTAACACCCGATTTTGGGACAAGTCTTTTACTCTCTAACAGTCCGATGACCCCTAAAGTGGTCAATGGGTCATTCGTGGCCATTTTCGATAACACGGAAGTGGTTCCAGAGTTTGTTCGGCACCTTGGTAACTCGTTGAGATTAGTGGCCAAAGAAAGTCCATCTTTACGTCGTCGAATCAAGGGATTAATGTTAACCGATAAACAATACAGGTAATTTAAAGATAAACAATCAAATTAAATTGTTACTCTTAATTGTTTCGATATTTGTAGTCTTGATTCTCGAATTGATCTGATGAACTCGATAATGGCAAGTTTGGACTTATCGTCATCCGATGGACCCAAACAACGACGAAGCGAAAGCTCCGATGGTAAGTAGAAAGTTAATTGTTAACAATTTAAATTCAACGAAACAATTAAAAGCTTTCTTTACAGATAAAGATGATGCTATTCGGGAGGAAGAGGAATAAGTTAATCAAATTAACTTGAACAATTAAGAAAAAGTTTACGAATCAAATGAAAATAAAAAGTTATCGAAATGACAATTTCATTTACAGTTACAAGGAAAATACAAAATTTAATTCTGTGTGTCTATTGATTATTAACAATTTACCTAATTAATTTACTCTCGTTATTGTAAACCCAAAGTTTAATTACAATTAAATTGTGATTTAACAATAAAACAATACAAAAATTTACCATTCACATTGAACATTTTTAATACCAATGATAATTAATATTGATTGACTTTGAAATAAGTATTTTAGTTAATTGCTGAAGGAAAAGAAAAGCAATTTTGTCATCTTCAATTGGACTGAATAAGTTTCGTCATGATTAGTTAATTGTTTCCCTGATTATGTTAGATTACATGGACAACATTGCCAGAGTCGTTTTCTTTTGGATACTTTTGAAAGGAAACATTTCAACCATTGATTAGAATTAGAAATCGATGATAATTAACGATAAATATATTTACCTTTCGCTTTTCTTTCATGTTTATTGGATGATTCAATTTCCATCATGTAATCAATGGTGCTCGAGGCAATACGATTGAATAGATCGTGAATTCCTTCATTAGTTTTGGCACTTGTCTCGAAAAATGGAGCTCCAATGACCTCGCAAAAGGCGTGGATTCGAGCATAGAATCCAGAGAACGCTAATTGTTGACTGTTAACTCGATCCTTTTGAGTTCCACACATGTAAACTTTACAATTCTAATTAAAGAGTAAAGAGAGAGAGAGAGAGAAAGAGAATCATTGATTAATATTCATTGAAGAAATATGAGAAATTAGAAGTTATCAATTGGCAATTAAGGTGTAATATGAATAGCTGGTTAAAGGTGAAACTGTTTTAATTGCAATCAAATGACTTACCGGTACTAAGGAATCAAGAGTGTTCACCCATCGTTGGGCTGTTTCAAAGGTGGACTCTTTATTCAGATCGAAACAGACAATGGCCACTTTAGCCCCAGGGCAGAAAGTGGGTGCAAAACATTCATAGCGTTGTTGTCCACCAGTATCCTAATCAGTTGATTGTAATACAATTATATTGGGGATTAGGATTTGTATCGTTAACATTATCAATGGAAAGTCATACCCAAATATTAAAGGTAACCTCGATTCCTTCAATGGTAATTGTTTTAGTCTTGAAAGAAGCACCAATGGTCTGGAATGGAAAATTAATGACAATTAATTATATTTTAAGTTAATTAGAATGACAATTAGAATTACTTACAGCTTGATGTGTACCAGGTTCACTTTCGTAGAAAACATTGTCGACATATTTTGACACTAAACACGATTTACCCGTTGCACTAGCACCGACAACTACGATCTTAATTGCGACCATTTAAATAGGTGAATATGATTAACAATCAGATTACACAATTTACAGATTTTCTATCAATCTCTATCTCTCTCCTCTCTAATTAACACTTAGAGATAATCATTGATGGTTTGGTAAAGGTAAATAAAGAAACGTTTAATTATCAATGGTTTAAGGTGATGAAGGGCACAATTAAGTATTTAGATCGGATTAATCAATGTAATCAATAGATTATCATTTCAATTTGATCAGTTAAAAGATTTAGGGAAAAGGATTTACTAATTGTAACACATTGAGGTTGACCAATTAACGATAAACAATTGGGACACACTCTCATATACACTTAATGGAAAAGATAAATCAATTGATCAACAATCAAGAATTAACAATGTTTACGTTAATCTCTAGATAGAAATAAGATAATTGTGATTAGTAAGAATAAACAATTTAATCACTTGAGAAGATGCTAAACTTTTGATTAAAGAATTGATGAGAAAATAAGAAACCACAAGTAAATTCAACACAATTTACTTAATTTAATTGGATAATTGTAACCATCATAAAGCTAAAAAAAATACAATCCAATTGATTGTTCATCCGATGATATTAATTATCTACAAAGAGATGAAAAAATTAATTGCTGGCTAATCACATTCCTTGGACTTTGCCAATGTAAACAAATTGAGATAAACTTTGGACTATCATTAATTAAAGGAATCAAATTAAATTTTAATCAACCAGAGTGAAGAAAAAAAAAAGTTTTGAAAAAAATTAAACATTAAATCAATAGTTTATTAAACAACCGCTAGATGGCAGTGAATCCAAAAAGTTGAAAATTTGTCACAATCACAATTAACTTTAAAACCAAGATAATTGTTACATTAATTTAGTGAATCAAAATTTGCATGATTAAAGTTTCAAATAAATCAACGCATCAAAACAACAACAATATATATAGAAAATAAAAGAAGATTATTACAAATGATTGGATAAAAAGACAATCCACTTTCTCAACGAACGAAAAAAATTATCGATTGATGAAATTAGATCAATGATAAATTGGTTATATCAATAATTAACAATTAAAAGTACAAAAAAACACAACAATTAAATTTGATGGAAAAATTAAAGTTGAGAGAAAATGAGATGAGATGATTTAGAAAAGGGAAAAATTGTCTTAGTGTCTGTGTATATAAAGCGCATAGAATTGGAAGTTATTGATTGATTGTTTGCCTTTTTCTTGTCAAGTTGATTAAGCAACAATTAAGAGAGAAAAGAAAGTTTGTCAAAGTAAATGACGATCATTTTGTCTTGCATGTAGATTATTGCATATTTTTGAATGTTCCTGGTCATGCCAATGGTCAGTCAAAATAATCTTCAATGTCAACGGTTGAATTGAGAAGATTATCTTGTAAATCAGTTAAATCTAATTGATTGATGATCAGATTTTCAAAAGTCTCTTCCAGGTCAGTTTCTCCAATGAGAAGGGCTCCCTGCATGTGTCCATCCTTCATGATAACCTTAATATATTCATCGTCTTCCTTGATTCTCAATAAAATTTGATACTGATTATCCAATTTGTGACCATTGAAAAGTCCTAAAAGTACAACTTTAAATCCAAAAAATGAGGTCATATGGGTGAACAGTTCAAAGGGAAAGTAAAGCGATGGATCTGATTGTGAGATGTGAGAGGTGATACAATGAGCGGAATAGATTCCCATTTGTCGGGCTTGAGTCCATAATCTCATTTGAAACCAATGGTGAGACCAATGCCAATCAGCTGAGCAAACATCACCCGCCGCGTAAACATCAATTTCAGTAGTCAACATTTGATCATTAACCTGTTTTTACAACAACAGAGACAATTAATCAATCGTAAATTAGTTATTCCTTTGTAATAAAGCAAATTCAACTTACAGATAGACCGAAATCTTGTCCAATTTTTAAATTATTACCATTGAGAAAAGGTTCAACGTTGGGAATTACACCAGTCGCGCTGATTATCATATCACAGCCATAAATTTTACCGTTATTTAGCTCAACATAAACGGGCCATCGCAAATCTTAACAAACAACGAAACAAAATTAGTATAAATTATCATCAACAATCAATGAGATTAAAGGTAAAAGTTGGTTATGATTAATTTGCCGGCAATCGCGGTACCTTTGGATTGAGTAATTGTCGTTTCCTCCATTACAATCATCGGATATTTACTTGGTGGAAGTTGATGATTGTAATAAATTCTGGACAATTCACAATTATATTCAATTTGAACAGATCTCATTTGTTGGTGGGTTCCTTTCATTTCAACATTGTCACCCCAATCAGGGCCTAGGGCACTTCCGTATAGCTTTTGTTCATACTCTCTTGAAGTACTACCATGAGTATCATCGTTACTATTATCACCACCATCAGGATTACCATTGGAATCGGAGTGAGAATATTTAATTCGTTTGATTATTGTTTCTTTAGGCCTTTTCTCTCGGCGTAAATATTGGGTGAAAAATTTGGATGCTCCAGGATCGAAAAATGTTGTCCCAAAAGAGGAATCTTTAATCGCCCAAATGATTTGACAGAATTCAACCGAATAAACCAATTCAGTGGCGATTCCACCATTACCGATAACTGATTGATTGGAAGAGAGAGAAAAAAAAATTAAGACAAAACAGTTGAGTTAATTTCTTTTACGAAATGAGACCCGAAATCAGATCAATACAATTACAAGACTTACCAACAACTCGCGATGAGCCAGATAAACGTTTCTCGAAATCTTTAATTGTTGATGTATCTCTTAATCCGATAATATAATCAGGGCAACTATTGTCAATTAATTTAGGCCGAGCACCGGTACAGATACACAGTTTAGAGTATTTAATTTGTTGACCAATTTGTTGTTGATTAGTTGAATCGCTTTCCAAATATAAAGTTTTCTCCGCAGCATCAAGACCACTAATTGTACCAATAATTATCTCAATGTTACCATATTGTGAGGTTAATTGGTCAACTGATTGTTCCGTTACATTAAATGATTCCAAGTGTTGACCTTTCTCTTTAACATCGGTGGCGACCTTTAATACTGGAGTACTTGAGATCAATTTAATCACCAAGGAAGGATCTAATTGAGCCAAAGTCGAGGCACAGGAAACACCAGCAATCCCACCGCCTACAACGATAACTGGATCAACCATTGAGAGAGAGAGACAATTCCCAAAGGGTCAAGTGAATTTGTCGCCAAAAAGAAAACAATAGAAATAATAATTGACTCGATGGACAAGTGATCAACTAAATAGTATGAAGGTCACACAGATTAACAGATTAACTGATTACTGAGATTAAAGAGATGATGAAAGAGGAAGAGCAAGAGAAAATGTCGCAATTGGAAGAGTTAAAATTTGACACAATGAGTCATAATATTGGAAATTGGGTGTTGACCAAGAGGGAGAGAGACAATTGATTGGTTGATGGTTCAATTTAAATTTAGAACAATTAATTGATTGTCTAACAGGGATGACCAGAAATTCACAGAGTTACATGTGTAAACCCAGAAGGAGAACCCATGCTTTCAATAATAATAAAAGTACATGGTAAAGGTAATGGAAGATGATGAGTCTCTCAGAAAAAGAGCATGATGATGATGAGAAATTGAGAGAGAGAGAAAGAGAGAGAGGAAGAGGAAGAGGGAGAGAGATGAATTCTGTGGATGATGTAACACTTTAATCTGAATGGAATACGATGAATATCGGTTGAGAATTGAGTTGAACAATTGGCTTAAGAAAGAATAATTAATATTAATTGAGAAAATGGCGAAAAATTGAAAGAGAAATAAAAATTATGTTTAACCAGAAAAAGAAAATAGAAATCAGCTGATTGAGAGAGAGAGAGAGAAAAGAAAGAGAAAAAAAGAAAGATAATAATAGAAAGAGAGTAGAATTGGAGAGAGAAAGAGAGAAATTAAATTTTTTTTTTCTTTTAATTGTCATTTGAGTTGATCAATTAATCGAGAAATTAAGTAACAATTTACTAATCATTCAATATACTGACAATCAATTCTAACAATCAACTGATGACAAGAAACAGTTAAACTTTTTTTTCCTGGTTTTCCAATTGAAAGAATCAACAATTTACCGTTAATTTTAATTGTTCTGGTAAATTGTTGATTAAACTACATTTTTACAAATCAATTGGAATTTAAGTAAATCAATTAAATCAGTTTCCAATCTTCTGGTTAGTAATTAAATCGGTGAGTAGCCAAATCTTTGATTCCTAATCGATTGTAACAATTAATATAATATTACAATTGTTGATTCTGTTAATCATTTGATTGTCACAATTTAGTAAATTGATTGTAAGGTTAACAACAATTTAGAACTTTTAAAGAGACAATCGAATTGGAATTCGAGTTTGATATATTAGAAGTTTCGAAAAAGTTTTAATATTAATTGTTAATTGTTCTAATTATTTTGTATCATCACAATGAACCTCATGAAAATAATTGAACAACTAATAATTAACTAACTAGGAAAATCCTTATGTACACAATTAAAACCTATTCACATTCATTAGAAAAAGTTAATTATAAAAACTTTCCTTGCAAGTAAATTAAAACAAATGATATCGTTAATTGTAGTTAGTTAATTGTATTAATGATCTAGAGTTAATATCAAGGTTAATTGTTGTTGGTCATCATCATCATTTCAATTGCCTTTTCTTGCTTCTTAATTAATCCCATGAAAACAAAAGCTAATTGTGATTAAAAACTTTCTTCCCAGTAATTAATAAATTGTTAATCTCCAATTGTGATTGGGACATTTACTTATTTATAATTAACACGAATCATTGATTGAGATTAGTTTTAATTGTTATTGTTAATTGGTGTTGTTTTCTTTTAATATATATAACCTTAAATACATTATCTTAACAATTAACTTGATCTGTTAATTGTTATCATACACACATTGATGATTGATTTAATTGTTTAGAGTTGATTATCACACTTTTTTTTAGGAATCGTTCTTGGTTGTAAATTTGATTAGAGTAGAGTAGTAATTAGTTTTAATTGTTAGAATTTAGATTTTCTTTTCAATTATTATGATTATTGATTCTTTTTTTTTATATAATTAATTGAACCCATTTGGTAATTAGTAATCATTTAAATTGTTCATCATTATTATTGATTTTATCCATTGGGAATCCATTGGTAAAGTTAATTGATTCCATTTTGGTAACAATTAAGCCAACAATTAAAATCGTCCACGAACCATTCGTAGCATCGCATCAGCTAATACATCAAGATGAGCTTTTGTCTGTAGATTAACAATTAACAAAAGAGAGAACAAAAGTTGATCGAATTAGTTGTGATTCGAAATTGAAATTCGAGAGAAAAAAAAAGTTCTAATGCATTGTTATCATTATAATTCGAAACTTTGAATTTTCTTGTCAAATTTTGAGACGAAAATTCAATTCGATTCTCATCTAATCAAGATAGAAAGTTTCGATTACGAGATTCTTATTATTGATAGTAAACGAGTTTCGAATGAGAAAAAAAAAGTTCTAATGTCAAAAAAAAAGATAATAATAATGATCGAAACTGCGAATTGGAATGCGGAACTTTGTTCGAAGTGAGAGAATTGCTTATTCGAATGTACCAGTTTTTCCAATGCTCGATTTCCAAATCAGAGAAAAATATTTTTAGAAAAACATATGATAACAATCAAATCAGTTCTATCATGATAACCAAAAGAATCACCATCAACTTAGAATTATAATATTAATAGTAACACCTAATATCAGAATCAATTGTTGATTTGTAGTTGAAGAATAATAGTTATCACATATTGACATCGAATTTGTAAGAAAAGAAAATCGAAGTTGAGAAAAAAAAAGTTCTAACCTTTTTTCTCTTGTAAATACTAATGATTCTTAGTTGAAAATTTTTTCTCTCTTCATTCAACTGAATTTTCTTCAACATGAATATCATGTTATCCAGATTAATTTCAAATGATTTATTCTCATCATTAGTTACTCGAAAGAAAAACTAACCTTGATTCATATGTTTACATGATATATAATATATTCAATTTTCATGAGACTTGACAAGATAAGTCGATGAATAAGTTTCATGTAGTTCATAGTTCATGATATTTCAGGTAAAATGAATGAAAACAAAATCCAAAGTTCTGAAAAGTTCAAACTTATAAATCACAATTTAAATTGTTAAGCTCAAAGCAAAACAAATCGGAAAATCATGAAACTTTTACATCAATTGATATTAATTGTTTACATGTTAATTCATATTGGCATTAATTGATAATTAACTTTAATCAATCAATTGTCATTAATTTAAATGAAACAAATTGATTATCAATCTCATCTTATTCAATTTATATAAACTTTTCAACAATGATAATGATTACAAAAAGTTTTAATATCAAAGGGTTAAACCATTTTGATTACTACAATTGATTGTTAATGATGATTAATCATTTCCAATCAATTCATCTTATCATCGTAATTAATATTGATCATCTATTAATATCTGGAAAATTTAATCATATAAACATTATAATAATCAACTCGACGACAATTTAACCTTAACCAACTTTGTTTCCCCTTCTTGTTAATCAAATTAGTTTTTATTGATTAAATTGTTGACTCTTTGATTATAATCCATGTTGATAATATGTTTCAAAGTTTATTGTAAGTTAATTTTATTGATTGTTTCCAATCTATTTATACATTTAGATGTTAATTGTTAGAGTAAGACTGATCACAAGCAATTAAAATGAATTGTCCCTCTTTTGATTAACAACTTTCATTGGCTAATTTTAACCTTAATTGTTTGGACTATGTGTTGATAACTAATCATCATTGGGTTGAAATAAAAGTCTATCAGTTGATTGTTTAGTTGATTTAAAATGTTGATATTCATTCAATTTGATTGTACATTATTAATACCAAAGATCAACAGAATTACCAAAGAGATTTTTCTGAATTTCATGATGATTAAAGTTCATGGAGATAATAATTAGATTCCAATTGATATTAATTGTATTCTGGTATTACAATTGAATTGACATGAGAAAAGTAATCAGGTCACAATTATCGTTCTGGATTCGAACTCTTTTTTTCCCTTCTTCTTGATTGTTTGATCAGCTGAAGATTTCACTCTACTGTTATTACGCTGATAAGATGTGGACAATTAACTGATAATGATTAAGAACTGTTAATGACCATGATAAACAATGATTATCATGAAGATGATAAGGGTGATAAATATTCAGAATAAAAGTAAAATGCTGTTTTTATGAACAACTGACCATAAATCTAGCTCGATAATAATGAAAATTCTGATGATCATGATGAGGATGATTGAGAGAGAGAGCCAATAATTTAATTTCGAATATCTTTCTCCATGAAATGTTTTCAGAGTTATCTCTGATTAAGAAAAGTAACTAATTATGATGAATAACTTTTCTCTGAATCATCATCATCCTTTATCATTTGGTCAACATGTCAACCTTTGGTTGGATGTCATCATCCTATGATCAACACAGAGATAATAATGATAACCTGATTTCACAATTTCCATCAAAATGATAATCAAGAATCATAGGAAATATAAAGAAAATCAAGTTCTGAGATAAGAGCAACATGAGGAAAAAAAAGTTCTGATAAAATTTACATTCATCATACTCAGTTAAACTTGTCTTCCTTATTTACCATTGTATCTCTCTCTCTCTCTCTCTCTCTCTCTCTCGCCATCATCTTCCATCTTCATTATTCTGCTTACACCCGCAATGATGATCACGATTGTTATTTACATGATTCTTCAATATTAAAGACACAAAACATAAAAGGTAAGAAAAAGATGATAAAATCCCCCAAGAGATGCTACTGATGCTGAAGATGTGGTGAAGATGAAGGTGATAAAAAATAAGAAGCAAATGAAGTTGTATCATAAAAGGTTCTAATTTTGATTCTTTTTCGTTCTAGAATTGGGAAATTTTCTCTTCTCTTTGCTATTTTTCTTGCTCAATTCTGAGTTACGCATATTCACTTGAATAAATATGCAAAGAAGAAAAAAAATTCAGGGTAGAGGTGGTGATGTTAGAGAAAAGTATCTCTCTCTCTCTCTCTCTTCTCTCTGAATTAGGAAAAAAAACTACATGAATTTATTCATAGGAAAACTGATACAAGTACAATTATATTTTCCTCTTTTTTTGCTTCTCAAACTGTAACCTTGAAACACTATCATTAATGTGAACATCTCATCAGGTGCATTCATTTAATACCATGAAAAAAAAGGTAAGTTACCATTTCTCAGGTAACTCTCACTGGATTAACATTATCATAAACTGCATTCATTTATATAACAGCAAGAAAACAAAACTAACGTTACAAATGTATCACCAAGTAACAGGTAAGTAAATGATTACTACCTGTTGACATGTTACACATTAAATATTTGGGTGAAAATAGTAAATCAAAGTCAAACTTTCCAGGCAAAGTTAATATTCATTAGTAATTTTCCCTTTTCTATCTCAAAATGTATTACAATTCAATAACCATTCAGATAATAAAACATTTAGAACAATTTAATTAATTGTTAATCATATTGATAGACTTACCGTTTTATAAAACATACACAGTTTTCTGTCCTCATCTTCACCATTAGGACAAGCAATGAAACCATTACAAAGTTCATGATCTTCAATGCATCGATATCTTCCCTCCTTATTGGGAGTTGGACAGGCAAATCGGTCAACACCATCTTCACTTACAGGGCATTCTGAGTGGACAAAGAGAGAAAGAGAGAAAAAATAAATTCCATGTTTACAATGCTAGCCGATAGATGGCATTACCGTACAGAGATTTTATCTTCACCATTTGAGTTAATGGTTATTTCATGTTATCATTATCAAGATTTAATTTTATTGAAAGTTTCAAGTTTTAATGTTCAACTTTTCATTAACATGATTAACTTAATCATAAGTATGTATACCTATTTACAACCCACGAAGTCAATTTATGATTTAATAGAAGTTTTTTTCTTTCTTCTCGAGAAAAAAAAAATAAGTATCATGTTCATTAATTTTAATCTAATTTGGGTTAATCATTTAAAGTGATAACATCGTATACAAATAGTTGATGGAGATTAGAAAATTTTGTTTATCCAATTTGTTAATCTAATTATCATTATCGTTATTGTTTCTTTTTTCTAAATAAAATTTTCCATTTTAAATGGTGTAAGATTGAGGTGGGTAGTCCTATGGAATAAAGGTAATGGAAAATATCATGAGATTTATGTTCGTTCTTTGCTGAATTGTGACTGAATTCATGGAATACTTTGAATCATCATGACCACCTAACTACATGATAATAGATATAAAGTCAGGTTTTCATGTAGAAAAGGGAAAAATACAATGAACATTATTCTGTTTTCTGTTCAGTTAAAATACATGAGAACTTTTTTTTCTCTCTCTAACTTTATTTTCATCTGAGAACATTCATTTCCATGATGATGATGATGATGATATAATGTATTACAAATTGAACTTTCATGGAGACACTTCAAGAATTACAAGGCGACCTGCAAAACAATACCTCATGAGAATACTGAGTAGACGGAATTTTAAGATAAAAAATAAAGACCATGAGAAAAATAAGAGAGAAAGTAAATTATTTTTCCAATGAATTTTCTGAGACAAAGAAAAAAGTGAAACTTACAAAACTCTGAGAATCGAATTTTTGTATTTCTAATCTCATTTCCTTTTCCTTTCCATCACAAACTTAGAAGAAAGAAGAAATTTGTCAAATGAACTTCACTTATTATTATCAATTGATGAAGTTGATTGAATTTGGAGTTATTATTGAAATAAAGCGACTTAAAGTTCATTTGGAAAAATGAATATTATGAAAGAATTAACAATTTCTAACTCATAATCTAACAGAAAAAAGTTCCACTAATGAACTTTTGATGGTAATTGAGTAGAACTTTTTTTATGTGTTAAAACAACAAATACCATTATTATCATTTCATGTTTCATCAGTTGATTTACATGAAACTTTTATTACATTTGAATGCATAATATTGTCATCACCCTGAAAACAAGAGGGAATCCAAAGCTCAACCTATTTTTATCATGCAAACTACCTGGATAAATATGATAACCCACTGAGAGAGACAAAATGTCATCATGAAAATTGTTCCCGTAAATATATTAGTTATCATGATTCATCGTTAATTTGATTCTCTGGAATCAACTAAATGCTGAGGTGTAAACGGAAGTGTGAAAACACCATAAAGAGGAATAGAGAGAGAGAGAATAGTGATAATACCTGGAAAAGAACAAGAAATCAACCAGAACTTTGTAATGTCTATTGTTCATTCAAGTTCAGTGCTGATTTTTGTTAGGAAATAAACTTTGTAGTATTTTTGGAAGTTCATAACTCTAGTAGGAGATTAAGGTGAAGAGGGATAAAGTTATGATTGTATTAGTATTTGAATCTCATTGTGGTGATGATTCTTGACTGGAGAGGATTGATAATCAATGTTGTTTTCAATTCTGCCCGTTAAAAGGATAACATTTCAGGGTTATCATGATCATCTTCATTTCTCTCTCTCTCTCTCTCTCTCTCTCTCTCTCTCAGGTAAAAGACTTCTCCTATTGATAGCTGAATTATCATATGATAATGATTGAGAAAATGTTCATGTTATTGCTTGTGATTCTTTCTCTCTGTCATCTTGCTTGAATCATTTGCAACATTGCAAGTAAACAATAAAAACTCACTAACGATAATAAATGTATTCTCATGAAATTATCATGAATGTGGGTGGTGAAAAAAAATACTCTTAATACCAGTCTAATAATAATACAAGTATAAACTTATGCCTTCCTTTTTATGGTGACACATAAATATCACTGATATGTTAACGTCATTCCCATCAATTGACAAGGATGATTATCATGATATATATAATAAAAATCATGATTCCTAAGTTTATCATGGTGATAATGATACAATGAGTAACCACAAAGCAATTGAATATAATAGTTTGTCCACTTATATTATTGTATTGTCATTAAAATCATGATCATCATCAACATACATAAATTCAAATACCCTCTGAATACCCATTCAAATGTTAATCAACCAAAATCAATTTATTACAAGTTCATCGATGAATATATATTAAACAACTTCCAATAATTCACCCAAACAGATATTATTGGAAACTCTTTCCTCTCCATTCAATTATAATTCAACTTTAACCTCTGGTGTTTTCTAATCTAATATCTATTTGTATGAATAAATTTCAAGATAAATTATTCATATGATGAGAAACACTTTCTGCTAATCCTTTTGCTCTAATCCCTTAATCCAAGGTTATATTCATGGTGATTAGATTGATAGTTACTTTAATTACTTTCATTAATTATCATCGTTACGTATTGTCATTAGTAAAGTTACAATTTGAGCATTATCACTCAATCCATAGGAGGTTAAAGGTTAACGATTCTGGAAACTTTATCTACTTACATATTAATAATAACTTTCTCTAAAAGATAATCTTTTCTTTGTAAGTTTCTTAACGTTGTAAATGTAAGATATGAGGGAATTGCCTCAGGGTAAGGATTTTAAACACTCGGAATTGGAGAGAGGAAGTTGCAACAATTGGAAAGATAATATTAATATAAGAATATTTTTCAACACAGATTAAGATATAATAAGAATCGTGTTGATATGGAATCAGTTTTATCCATGCTAATGGAATTGAATATCTATTGTATTACTTTGAGAAGGAAAAAGAAAAAAAGTTTCTTTTAAAACTTTTTTTCTTCTTCATTTTATTCATGATAAGTTTTGTTCATTTCTTTTTCTTGTTAATTGATTGTTACAATTAACTTGCAATTTACTATAAAGTTCATGGTAATTCATCTCTCAATGTAACTGAATTAACGTGAAATGTTTTTGTATCACTTGAGATTTGTAGTAAAAGTTTAATTTCAAATGAATGGAAACTTTTTTTTCACTTCTTACTTTTTGTTTCTCTTTATTCAGTTTTGATTAAAACAAAATTAGTTAATTGTAACGACCAATTTGAATTGAATTTGTGCTTATTTTAGATTTAAATTGGTTCAAATTGGATGTACTTTTTTTTTTGATGAACAATTGACTTTGATTGGTAATCAACAGTTGATGATGATTAAAGGTAACAATTGATTGATTACTTAATTTGTAGATTATCAATTAACACAATCAATTGTTTATGTAAAAGTGAAAGTGATTTAATCAATTATGATAACCTTTAAATGTACAAGAAAAAGTTTTTACTATCATTTGTAAATTGTTACCATTTTGATTAACAGTTAATTGAAAGGTAACTACACTTACTAATATTTAATGGATGACAATTTGTTTTGTCAACTCACTTTAATTCAGTTTAGTTTGGACATGATGAAAGCTTGACCATGTTAAGAATCAAGGACTTTTTGATTACTTGTGGTCAGCCAATGGTTTGGACATTGGTCAATTTGAGTTATTACATATTAAATATATTTAAGTTAATGAAAAATGACATGACCATGAATATAAACTAAATCCATAAGGAAAAGTTTAACTTTATGTGTATACGAAATTTTTGTACTGACCACTACTACTAAGAGATGACCACTGAAAAGATGACAGTTTAATTGAACATGTGAAAGTTATACTAGAGATAAATAATCAGTTATCACTTTGGAATCGGAGTTGAATTGAAACTCATGGAAAAAAAAAGTTATTCCTTGAGTGAAATGAACTTTCAAGATTATTAACTAACCATTAATTGAATACTTTTTCACGAGTTTAATTTATTGATTGATTATTTAATCGTGAAAGGTTTGATAATATGTGGTGGGTTTTGATTGGAAATTGTTATCATTTAATAATCATAATAATTGTAACAATCAATGGTCATCGTGATGAAATTTTTAACCATTGTCTCCATAGAAGTGGACAAACTGATTTACTAAAATTGGTGAATGAATTTAATTAGAAAACCTTTACGATTTCATTTGTTGTCTATCACTGTCAAGGTTAATCAAGTGTAAATTGTGGAGGTGGATAATTGAAATGTTAATTAGGTACATTCAGAGACAATTAACTAATTGTTAACTGATCTCTCTCTCTCTCTCTTTGTCTCTTACTAACGATTGTAGGAGTTGAATTAACCTTGGGTTAAGTTAATTTACTAATCATGAGATTCATTGACTAACCACCAAGGGAATTGCTAATAAAGACAAAGTAATTTAATGACAAAATGATTATGATTATTGTGATTAAATATTATCAATGATTTAAAATGTAACAACAATTAAAGATAAATTATCATTGTACATGGAAAGATTAACTCAAATTGAAATAATCAACTAATCATCAACATTTTTCCGTTTACATTATGAAAAATAAGTTTACCTGGGTAACCAAATTAAACTGGTAAACAATTTGTTAAACCAGTTAAACATTTAAACTCTCTATTATAGTGATCAAACAATCAAAAGTTTAATTAACAAAAAGAGTGGGGTAGCTGGTAGGCAACAATTAACCTTTTATAATCAATTGATTGCTATGATTAAATTGTAAATTGTAAAAAAGTAATATGATTTTATCTTCCGGAGAAAATGAAAAAAATTTTAAATTCCCAAAAAATATCAGATTCTGAATCATTATCGTCATGTAATTAGTTTCATATTATAATAACCTCATTGTTTTTTTTACCTTCTATCATGTTACCCACCGGGTAAA